TGGCAGGTTTAGGATTATCCTTAACATCCCTAAAGCACAGAGAATGTTTTCTCCACTGATGGCTTCCTGAGTGTGTTTGCTGATAGAATGCTAATTTTTTTCATCTCAGTGTCATGAGACACTAAATATGATGTGTTAGAGGCAAATGTCTATGTTGCATGTCACATATATGCCAAAATCAGAGTTTGAGAATACCTAGAATGAAATCAGGTTTGTCTGACAAACTGTATTTTCTGTAAAATTTCTGATTGATATTTTTTGTATTGCTATATGGTAATTATTTTATTAACTTAATCCCCCTTCAGGTTTTCCATTATTTTACTTGTCATAGAATCAAGTTTGCCACATTTCTTCCTTTTAAAATATTGGTAGAACAGCAAACTCTAATCTGCTGGAATTTCTTTGATATTAAATATAAGAGAAATTGGTATGTTTAGGCCAATCAAGTCTTCACCATCTTTTGTTATATGGCTCTGCTGATTTTAGTGCTTACCATAGTATGTGTTGCTTAACAGCTTTCTGGGTTATTGAGTGATAAGAACACATATATACAGTGCAGAACCACTAGTTGAATACTTCTGCCCCTTTATAAACAATTTTGTCATTGAAGCTCAAATTTTCACAATAGGAAATTGTCTGTCTATAGATTTTTGTTTTGATTCTTCAGTTTACAAAATAAAATTTAAAAAAAATCAATAAAAAACCACTGAGGTTTAATTCTCAGGTAATTGTTGCCCACTGCTTGTGGACAGGCTGCCCCCTTACCTGTGGACTGGTAAGGAGATGGTAAGTGCAGCATATTCTCTATATATATAGAGTATGTTCTCTTTCTCTCTCTGTATATATATATATCTATATATCTATATATCTATATCTATCTATCTATATCTATATCTATATCTATATCTATATCTATATCTACTGCTCAGTATGTGCACAATATGCTCTACAACACAGTAGCAATGTGGTGGCTTCCCTCTGGATGCCCTGGAAGCTGTCCTGGCCCATGGATCACATGTGGAAATCATGAGTCACATCCCAGTCACAGCCACGGGACAGACTCCAGATCCATGTTGGTCCTTCCACAGGTGATTTTCTAACTCCTGGTTATCACTCCATGGCAAATATGCTGCCCTTCTAAAAAACTGACATGAATTGAGGCATTTTTTTCTATCAAAGAACATGTAATTTAAAAATATTCTTTGCTTAAAACAAGGAGTAACAATGAATATTTTATAAGTTGACAAAAATAAGTATTTAGCAGAGCTCTCACTAGAGAGAAGATGACAAGTGAAATGAGTTGGGAAGGGCAGGAGGATGGAAGAACATGGGCAGGTGAAGGCAGCTAATGTCCAGTGATGCTGGGTCTTTGGAGACAGATGCAATCTCAGCAGATACTCTACACTGAGGCTGACCAAATGAAAAATGTAAAGATGTGAAAATTGCCTTCAGGAAATACACTGGGAATTCTTCTAGCCATGCACTTACTGGTCTATTCTTTGACAAACACAGCGAAGAAATTCCTGATGGAACTTGAATTCATTCAAGAGATTCATGCTGAGGCAGTGCTGAACAAGCACAACCAGGCTGCAAATATTTGAGAATAAAACAAGGCAAGGTAGTCAGCAGAACTGCTGTTCTCAGCATTTACCTCTCTTTGCCTTGGAAGGAACTGATGTGAAATGCTCTGCTTGTGTCTCATAAAGCTGTGGCTTGACTTGCCAGGAGAAGAAGGAATCTTTCTGCCCCTGTTGCCAGTGGCAGTGCTGTGAGCCCTGCTGTGACCCAGCTGACCCCACCTGGCTGGAGCGTGGCTCAGATGAGAGCATCACATGGATGTCACGCAGCCAGCTCCCCTGGCCTGTGCTGCTCCTCAGCCCATTGAACCGAGTCAAAATGATCTCACTGTGATCTCAGGCTCATGAGAATTGGGAATAACAAAACCCTTGAGGCCTGTGAAGGTGTGGTGCTAGCACAGGACACCCTGTGGTGTCTGCAGGGCTGGAACAGAGGGACAGAGTGGTCATGCTGGCAGCACGGGCTGGTGTGAAATCACCACTCGCGTTTGAAAACACATTAAGTCAGTAAAGAAAATATAGGAACAAAGGCAAACAGAAGAGGAACTTGCATCCCTGCAGAATGTATGATAAGGCATTAATTACAGTGGGAAGGAGGCTTTCAGACAGAAGAGCAGCATATGAGTCTACTCATTCCTGCAGAAAACAAGCACCCCTTAAACCACATCCACGGAAATGCAGATGTAAAACACGGCAGGGCTTCTGCCTGACCCACAAAAAAAAGAAAAGCATTCCTCCTGAAACTACCACTCCTAAAAAGGTGATGTGAAATATTCATGTATTTATCTTGCCACATCAGCAAGGGAGAAGTGTGCAGTGTTCTAGCACACATAAACAATTCCATTCTTTCTGTTAGAACCCTTTTGCTTTGAGTCACATCACAAGAAGGATCTTAACCATAGAAGAAATACCTGGTTTGAAATACCCTGGGCAGGTGGTTTGACAGTCACAAAGCAGAAAACTGCCACTCTCCAGGAGAGGAGCACAGGGCCCTAAGGATGCAGTTTTATGGTTCTTTCAGGACTACTTGGATTCAGCTTCCTGGTGCCTTCATGTGGCAGCTTAAAAGGATGGATTCCTGAGGCCAAATTATTTTGGACTGAAGCTATTTGACTGATTTTGACCCAGTTCCGCAACCAAGACAAAATGACAAATCCAACTTTATTTGGCATTTGAAGTGGGAGGGAAATGACTTCTCTGTTCTGCCAGAGGTCTCTTTTATTTAATGTTCTACAAAGAGGAAGAAACTGCATATAATAATGACATCTTGTGGTAGTTGTTGAATTATTGCCCTATGATTTAGTAGATAACTGGATGCCAAATTTCATGACATCTCTCTCTTTCCATGCTGCAGCTCTGCAAGCTCAAAGTTACAAATTCTCCTGCTCTGAGAAGCTAGATGTAGAAGACCTCTGGAACATTTGGCTGTTGCCTTCAGAGGAAAAGGACATTTTGCTCATTTGATTACACTGATCTGGCTAAAAATACATGTCAGAAATTTACAGTCATACCTGATTAAAGAACCTGATCACAGCTACCCAGGTATTTTAAAGAGAAATGCTCAAGGCCCCACAGTGCTTCTACTTATTTCTGCTTTGGTGCTCAGGTCTGCAATTCCTTCCATCAACCAGGTGTCCAAGGGTTCCACAAAGCTCTAAGCTTTCTGCAGGCTGTGTGAAATTTCATATTTAGGGTCCATAACCGTACTATTTAACTGAGTATCCCACTTTGCCTGCCCATAATCATGTCCTTGCTGTTGCAGCCTCTGCTGTGCTTGCTCTAGTTGAAGTTAGAAGCTTTTCAGAACAAAGAGCACTTTTCCCTGCCAGTTTGTACAGTCCTTATCATCAGAGAGGCACAGCTTGTATCAGGGAGTTTGGCTGTTGCCAGAATAGTCATAATAAGATTAGAAGGAACAGCTTAGGGATATATTTTTACAGGTTGTCTGTTTATCTTGTCATGTGTTTAGTGAGTATCCTTGTGGTTTACCAGGTCTCCTGGTCTCTGCTACTGTGACACAGTTTTGCTGGTTTTTTTGGGATGAAGGTGGCTTAAGCCATATGCCAAACACCCTTGTGTTTTTTTTCTAGGCTACCAAGGCCTCATAAACAGACTTACAGTTTATACACAAGATTTACACACAGCTGTTTCCCACCTGTGAAGGAGGAAAGAAAAGACTGAGTCACTTAGGAAGAGCTCAGAGGTGATGGTGAAATCACAGACATGTATGACAGCACAATAATGCTGCTGATCAGAATTGATAGTGCAGAATGAGGACTGACACATCAGTGCTACTACATTTAATGTATCATGGCATCTTCCCCATTTGCCTTTTTTTACTGCCAGAGTTCCTGGTATCCACATTGGATACTGGGCAAAACAAGCTCTGCCTCTTTCCTTCAGAGACACTTGTTGGATTCCCCATAAATATGGAAAATTCCTAAAGATAATCATGAGACCCCCCCACTCCATAACATCTAATGACAGGTGTTTTAGCTGTATTGATCTATTTTTTCTTCCATAGGATGATGCCACCTATTGGACTTTATTAAAAGAGACAAAACAGTTCAAAGAAAATAAATACTTTATACTGGGTTTTTTTTTTAAGTAAAGAAGGTTAAACTTTGCTACAGTTCAACTGCAAGAAAAAGAGCTTCTATTACGACATCTTGAGTTACAGTAACTTATTACAGAACAAAAAAGAAACAGAGCCATAAAAAACACAGGCAACACTGACTATCTTTCGTAAAAAAAAAAAGTAAAAAAAAATACGGTTTAACAGGATAGCTTTTATCCGTTTTTCTAATGGGACTATAAACAACAGCCATAGAATTTCAGACTTTTTATTTGGCTTTTTTTTTTTTAACTAAAATGTGTTGAGGGTGATAATTTTGAACTTGTGCTGGTAAAATTATTAACATCTAAAACTGCTTTCAGTCTGGCTAAGAAGTTATCTTTACTAAAAGAACATTCCTTTCAGCTAAAAGCTAACAGTGTGATTGTTTCCAATTTCCCACTTTGAGCTAAGACAACACAGGGTGTGCCACCAATCAGAGCCATCTTTGCACGTTGCTGTTTGGTTCCTCAGAACTGGGGCAGTCAGCAAACTCGGGGCAGTCAGCAAACTCCCCCATGCTCCAAGGACAGATACCTGCCTTTGTTCACACTGAAATGGTTGCTTGTCCTTACCTCTTCCCTTCTTGTCTTCTGAAAGGCAATATAGGTTGGTTCTCTGCAATCTGAGGACAGGGGAGCAGGGGGGAAAATGCTCCCCCAATGTTTTCTTGCTATAATCATACTTAATACAGGTTTTGTCCAGCCTGTCCTAATTTTTTCTTCTGCCTTTATCAGCTTATTCATAATTCCTGGTGGCAAATGTTTTTTTAATTATTTACCTTCTGTTATATGAAAGTAACGACAGAGAGCGATCGGAAAATTTTATTATAAACTTTGCAAAGAAGTGATTATAATAAATCTTCATATTTTAAAATTTACTTGACTAAATATCTATAGTGTGGAGATGTGCTGCTCTTGATCTTGTCTTTATTATGTTAACAGTCTCTCAGATCAAGTTGGACTTGATTTCAAAGTTATTTTAAAACTTGGCACATCTCAATGAAAATCCCTTTCATTTTGGTGTTCATATGGTCTAATTTCCTCCTGATGTTTGTAACAAGGTATCCATCTCAGGCCCATCCAGACCCTTAAAAGTTGTTTGGTTTACAATCTTGACCTCAGCCTGCCTATAACAGGTTTATTACTGCAAAATTCTGCCCACCATGAAGGTCTGTTCAGAGCTTTGTTGCCTTGAAGGATCTCTCCCCATATATTTTTGTATATCTGCAAAACAATAAGAAAAAAAGGATTAATGCATAGAGAAGAAACAAAACTTCTGCAAGATAAATTATTAAGTTAACTTATTGGCTGAGATTTTGATTGAATTTCTATATAAGAAATGTGAACAGTTATGTAAAGGCAAGAACAATAAGGACACAATTTCAAAGTGAGATTTCTGTGTAAATCATTTAAATTATCATTGGCATAAGAGCAGGAAACCAGAAACTTTTATTATCTCTGGTTTTCAACTTGACAGGAGTTATACTATCAAAGGCAGAAATTTGGAAACAAGATTATATTAAGCCAATCTTTGTTCTGTCCCAACCTGAGGACTGTGTCTGAAAGCACCCATGGACAGCTGTTGTTACCTTTGAACACTCTTCTGGAAAGTAACAGAACTTCTTTCCCAGTGTGAACTGTTTGACTTGAGCATAAGAAATTCTTCTCCCAAGAGCTGATTGCTTATTTGTAATTTTACCAATTTGCAATTTTTTTTTTGTGTAAGAGTTAAAAAGAAGCAAATTTTGCCAAAGTATAATTTTAGCAGTATTTGTCAATGCATAATTAACAAAAGCTTAAAACTTGAAATAACTTTATAGAAAAATCAGGAAAGACAGAACATCTTTTCAGCTGTAAGAGAATACAGTGTAACAAAATATTAATGTGGTATAAAAGCAGTCAGTGAGGTAAAGTGAAATGCCTTTTTTCTTCATCAAAAGATGCTGTGGCCCTAAATATCAGTAATGACTTAAATATTTAAATATATTTATTATTAAATATATTTTACCTTGATTACATGGGCTAACGTAAACTAATTATTCCATTCTAATTTTGATTAAATGTTGTCTAACAATTTTTAATAAATCCTGAAATAAATGTCGCAATACCTTTACAGACTTTGGCTGAGATTGTCAAAACTTTTATGGATAAATTAGTCACTCCATCAGTTTCTTTTAAAGATAATCTAAATTATTCTTTACGGCTTAAAGCTGCCTATAATAGAAATTGAAATTTCTCCTCAGCTCCAGTTATGATCTTTGGGTTATGGTGCAAGGCACTCCACTGCAGCACAACACACCTTATCCTGAATTAATTTCACCTTTTTGTTATACTTGGATAATCCATTCTTTACCATGCTGTAATTTTTACTAAAATGTTTCCATTGGTTCTTAGAAGGTGCAAAGATAGCAATGAATAGAGGATTAAACACAGACAGCCAGGAGACAATGATCTTTATTAAGTATTTTGGGTGAGGGATTGGCAGCCTTTTTTGAACTTCAGTTGAAAATATTTACACAAGTTGAAAACCACAGACTTACAGTCAGTTCAGAAAATGTTCCTGAATTCTATAGAACAGGGGTTGAATAGCACTGATTAAAATTATTTTCTCACTGATTCAATGACTTTATAAAAAGTTAAGTATATAAGGAAGTGTTTATATTCCTACATGCATTTCTCACATATTATACTCCTAATATTAGTGTCTAATATTGATAAGTCTCTATGGCTTCTGCATTTGCAAGAACTAAGAGGTACCCAATGAGGAGCCAGCCAAAACCATCATGACAGCTTTATCAGACACTGATAAGAAATCTTCAGGTGACTGCTAGAAAGGGGATACTATTCTAGGAATGAATCACTGTGTACTTGTACCATATTTTATATTTCTGCCTATAGCATCTGCTCACAGCTTCTGCTGGAGACAGAAAATTGTGTTAAAATGGGCTTTTGGTCAATACAAGATAATCTTAACATTCTAATGAACTGTGTTCCTTCTCTGCAGAGTTACCTTCAGAGCTTCCCTCCCATGACCTCTTGCATTAATTTAATCCTCAAAAACCTATGGACATGGAAACAAAGTGTCCAGTGATGACTACAGCGATGCTAGCCCTCCAGGAGATGGCTGGATAGGTAGAGGCAGCCTTTCCTGCCTCATTTGCAGAAACTGTGCTAACAAAGTAATCACTGTGTTAGGTCAGCTTAGCAACATCTGCTCTGCCCTCTGCACTGCTGGATCACCATGGGAACAAGGGGCAGCTTCAGACAAGAAGTCACAGGAAATACTGAAAACCACAGAGTCTGATGCAGCATTCCTGTCAAACATCCTGGCAGGCTCCCCAGGCTCCAGGGATTGTCTGCAGCATCCATCCACACCAACCCAAACTACTCCACTGTGACACTGGTCCCTACAGAATAGTTATCCCATAGCCTTGATGAGTAGGTTTGGCACAATAAGCAAGAATTTTGGTTTGCTGAGAATTTGGAATAAAATACAGATTTTGAAATATGTCCAAAAAAAAGGCAGGGAGTGACCAGGAGCTGTTGCAGTCAACTCCATGGTGCACCCGCATCCCAAGTCCTGCTTGTAGGTCTGGTTATGCCACTTCAGAAAGGATATGGCAGAAGCAGAAAATACACAGAGAAAGAAAACAAGGTCTGTCAGAGGAATGAAAAGACTCCCATAGATGGCAAATAGATATGGACTGGGACTAGGAAGTATTTTCTAGCAATACTCATAATTAAACTGCAGAAATGATGGTGTGATATAAGCCAAATGACAGCTGAATTTGAAAATGGATGGAAAAAATGGAGAATAGACATCTGTGGTTTCTAAACAGAATGATACAAACAGAACCTATAGCATGAGACATCAGGAAAAGAACACTTTGCTATTTCATCTGTTTAACAGAGTTCTCTTTGGCCATCTATTCCTGTCTGCCACAGAGTATTCTGTGAACTGAATCCAGTATGGCCCTTCCTATGCTCCTAACTCTAGCTTTGTGTAACTACCCAAAAATTTCTCTCAGCCCTTTTCCAGTTCAGTGCACAGATGGCCACAACAGCAAACTACAGCAATACTGTACAAGTTTTCCATTAAAGTTTATCTCCAGCAAACAAAAAAGTTCATTTTCTGCTGATATCAATTTAACTCTGGTAGTATTTTCCACTGAAAAAAGTGTCTTTCTTTTCTTTTGTACTTGTGAAATGTCTTGAATATGTTAAGGTTAATTACAGGCAATAATCTTCTTCATGATTAAACTTACAATATTTACAATGGGTTTTCTTACCTCTCCACTTGCTTTACCAATGGGTGAATTGAGAATGAAGTCAGAAGGAGCAAAGACATCAACCAGGGCAACTGCATCATCTTTCAACTGTTTAAAATCAAAAGACATACATTTGACAACTTCTGTAGTTTTCTATGGCTGAACTACAGAGCAGCATAAAAATTATTTTCATAAAGTGCCAGCTTTGATAATTTAAGAGGAAACCACAATAAGTAGCCTAGTTTAATTTTGATTTTTTTCACTCCGTAACTGGCAAAAGAGACTGTATTTCAAATGTTTTCCTCCTTTACCTAGGGAGTTTTAAACACATTTTAACCAATATGGTGCTGTTTACACATATATTTTTGAACTTTAAAAACATAATGACCAGATTCATTTTAAAATTTTCCTGACCTGCAAAGAATATGTTGTGGCTTGGAAAGCTTTTGTGCTAAGAAAAAAAAAATAATCACAAACTAACTCAAAAATGAAATAAAAAGAACTGTGTTGAAATATTTCACTGGCTTTCCAATAAGATTGCAAGGCCGCAAATGCTATTGTTATCCATTTGTTGAAATAAACTAAGACTAGATTCAGGGTTAATGAGCTGCTAAACTTTACAGAAAATTATTCAGAAACCATTAATGTAATATCCTGCTACATTACCCCTTAAAGTAAAGAATATTCTGATGACTATAAGCCATGTATCTCTCTTTTAGCGCTTATATACTACATACTTAATCACAGTAATCAGGCTTACCCTGTAACAGAGCTCCAGAATAGCATCCTGAATAAATTTCCCAGGTTGTTCACCTGAAGCATAGCCACCTTAAAGACATTCACAGAGAAGCTTATACCACAGTTAAGATTACACTGATAAAAACTTTTTGCCAAGTTCATGAGTTCAGTAGTCAAGACTAAGTAGCTGCACCTGTGTAATTGAACTGACAGTCTTTCATTAATGAACTGACTGCAAAACTCTTAATCCAAGCCATGCAGAGCCTTCTGCAGTAAAGAGCTACACTACAGTATCTTGCTGCCTATCCCTCATCCTCTCACACAAGCACTGGATCACAGCAAAACCTGTGATCACTCCATCTTCTCTGAGGTAATAGAAAGACTTTTGTCTTTAATTTTTCACTGCAGATTCCTGCTCCTGAAAATTTGGTTGAGAATGATTGTTTCGTATTAAACAAGCAGTAAGGAAATACTGCAACATAAATCATCCTTAGGATTCCCTGCCCCAGCCAGGGAATACTTTTTGTACATTTTATAAAGAAGTGACATGCACAGCACATTCAGGGAGCTGATCTCACCTTGGTAGAGCACAGCCAGGTGTTTACTCAAGGACCAGAGCCCATAGAGAGCACTGAGATACCTCAGCACTGGCTGCAGAGCTGCTGGGACGCTGGGATCGTGAGTGTAGTCATGGTAGCGCTGTAAGGCCGTCTGCTCAATAAAAGCAAGAGCCAGAGACCGACAGTAGTACACCTAAGGAGAAGGGAAGAAGAACACTGAGTAACAAAATACCAAGAGCCACTCCTCAGCCTGTGCAGCATGGCATTGGTCTGGTGAAGATAGTGGAAGTCAGCTGGTTCAGGTGTGATAATCTAGCTTGAGAAATTCTAAGAAACAGTAGGAGAAAACACTTTCCACAATGTCTATGCAAAGGTTACTTATGGAATGTCTTATGAAATGCCTTTCAGAAGTAAGACTGAATCCCTATTACCAGTGTACTTTGGCATCCAGTTGCACCCAGGTTCTATGGGATCAAGAAGCTACTTCAGAGAGAAGACAATGTAAAATCAGGTCTGCTGGTTTTAGGATTGTTAAGAAACCTACATGAATCCAGAAGGAAAAAGGTAGGTTTATATTTAATTTATATGATCCAGCGCTTTATAAAGAAGATAAAATATTCCTATTGAAAAATTATTACAGTTCCTTCAAATAATAAACAAAAATCTGATCATGTCAGTGTGAGGGGATTCTGTTGATGGATTGCAATTGATTGCAATATGTTTTGAAGGAACTATTCAACTAGTCCTTGACAACTATCTTGATGAGAAAGACAAGTCACCAGTTACTGTTAATGCAGAGTATAAAACCATAAGTGATTGTATGTACTTACATAGGAACACTTCTATACATTGATATACGTCATCTTTGCTATATGTGCTGCCATGGGATAGACTGCTGACTGACAATCTAGCTGGTGAACAGCAGGGGAATATGATGCCATCGCTCTCCTAGCTGACTTACTGCAATGATGTAACTCATGTGTGTTTTGTTTTGTTAAGGTTTGGGTGTTTAATTTTTTTAATGTAGAATTAGTTGAGTAGTTTAAATTCTTTTATTTTAAATACTTGCATTATCCTTGCATTTAGATCCACCGCAGCATATAAAAAAGGCATATTCCAAAGATCACTGTCTTTCTCAACAGCAGCTGCTCAGTGGCACATTTATGTCCAAGATTAGATATATTTATAAACAGCAAAATACACATCCTCTATTCTCCGCAACAGTACAGAGAACTGCTCCCTTACTAGATGTTTTTTTGAGATATGCTAATTCCCTGGTCAGAATGAAATAAGTCTTAGCATCACAAATTAAACATTAGGAATTATTTTCCTGTTGTTCTCCCCTATAATTCTATTTTCCTCTTTCCCATTTCTTGCACTTCTGTATTGTTTCTATCAAGCTGTGCCCAAACCAAAATAACCTAGGGATAGGCTAGGAATCTCTTACAGATCCCCTATAGCATGAACAAATATTTTGTATTAGTCAACCACTGGGCTGAAAGAAAAGTGTTTCTTCATGCTGAGAAAGTTTTAAATCAAATATGTACATGTCTTCAAAGCATAGCTTGTAAATCATTTTCAGATGTTTTTGAGGCATGACATTTAAAATAAAAAGTCCTTCTGTCCTGAGGATGAATTGTAGGGAGAAAAAAAAAACCCTAATGACCTGAAGCCTATCAACATCTATCTCACAATAATTTGTGTGCCTGAACCTCTTTGAATTCTAAATATAATAGATAAGAAAATCTTCACTCTTCTGAGCTCACCATTCTCTCTAATGCACTGGCCCCAGCACCAGCTTCACCAAAACCTGGATAACTGACCATCAGACTGGAGTTTCTGGTAATTCCCATTCTGGATTTGATCCTGAAGAGTTTCTCTAATAAGCTGCTTCTAGGGTAAAAACAGGAAAGATTTTCTCCCCTCTACCAGTGGTTTCACACAGATCATCCCCTGCTGAAGCCAGGCTGGGTCTTTCTAGGTCCAGAGTTGAATGCTGAGTATTCCTTCTTGCTGTTTTTTAGCTTTGCAGATAAAGTAAATGACAGCAACCATCTTAAGGGAACAGACCTTTCCCAGTGACAAATGACAAGTGCTCATTCTTTGGATGTGAGCCAATTTTTCTCAATGGAGGTAGTAGAGGAGCCTGGTGTGCTTGGGGATAAATGCTGAAATTTGGAGTTAAGCCATTCCTTGCTGTTAAAACTCTCTGGTGAGACAGTGGATCTGCTATATGTAAATTGTCAATGTTTCCTTTTCAGGTTCCAATGCTGTCAGTCTGGTATCTTTCATGAATACTTTGCACTATAGGAATTAGAGATGAAAAAGACCTATTAGGTCATGTAGTTTACCTACCTGCCAGAGCAGGATTCTTTCCTACACTATGTATTTGGCCACAAGTGCAGATGGAGAAGTAATAATCAGATGCTGCAGTGTATTTAATACTAACAGATTTAGTCTTCAGAAGTTGTGCTATCAAAATTGCAGACATCACACAGCACATGCCTGTAACTTTTCTGAAGGGAAATATATCCTGAATATATCCTGGAAGACTTCTGCTGTTGATAACTGTCCTCATGCTGTCATGTTCTATGCAATGCACATGGTCAGGTATTAAGTTTTATTAGTTATTTGACTTGCTGCTTTATGGTTCAGGAAATTGTACTTTATGATACAAGAAGATAAAACTACTAGAAACTGACAAGACTTGGATGAAAATAAATAAATAAAATAAGGAAGATTATTAAGTATTACCTGACTGTTGTTTTTGGCCTCAAAATCACTTCGTCCAGCCTGCTTCTCCTTATTCATTTTTAGGTAACTTTCTCGGAGCAGGTAGCAAACCAGCCATTTATAAGCTGCTAAAGGAACTAGGAAAAAGAAAAAAAAGCAAAATTCTTAACATTCACAGTTATGATGCAAGAAGTCACATGAAAATTCTACTACAGTATCATATTTTTTTACTAGAGATGAAAAGTAAAAGCATTAATTAATCAAGCCACTGACATGCCACTTTTGCCATTAAAGTAATATAATAAATATCTGGGGAGAACAGTCAAGATTGTGAGGGTACAGTGAAGACACAATCATGTCTGGCCATACACTACTTCAAACTGACCCCAAGCTGGAAGACAAGGTGTAGCCACAGCTCAGTTTAAACTTCTTAACTTGAATAAATCTTTTTGCCTTTTTTTTTACTTAGGCCTGCAAGGTACAAAGTCTCTTCTGAGAATACAAGAACAGAAGACAGCCCACAATTACTGGAATCATGTGACTTGCAACATTGTTTTCACTGGTGGCTGAATGTAATCACATTTAAATTACTAGCTTTGTACATAGTTGTGTCATATTTTTAAGAGCAGCCTAGAACTATTAAGATAAAAAGTTATTCAGCATGAAGTCCTTGCATGAATCCAGCTTGCCTGGTTCTTAGCTGAAGATTTAATGTAGAGTATGCCTTAGGGTATAGGGAGTGTTCACATGCTGCCTAAATTAAGGCATCTAGATTAAAAGTCCAGTTTCTAACAGAATGGATCAAGAAACAGATTCAGACATTTTTTAAACCATGATGTGGTTCAGTAGGTATTGCACGAGAGGAGAGAGTATGTGCTATTGCTCTCTTATTAGGTGTCGATATTCTTTTTAACTTTTGTGTCCAAAGGCCAATTTGGGCCCAGTGATACACAAATGGGAACAGCATCTCATGTCATACTTAATTATAGCAGAGTAAAGCCAGCATTACTCATTTTTTCTCTATACAACCAAAAGCATATGTCAAAAGCAGATGAACTTAATGCCTTTTTAAACATACTTGTAAATCCCTTGTATTGTTTACTAAAAGAAGCTATTTTAGTGATAGAAGGGAGTGGAAATCAATCCCCTTAGAACTGGAAAACAGCAATACAGTGGTGAAAAACCCTAACTCAGAGATGTTATTTCAGAGGAAAAAAAAAAAAGAGAAAAAATAATATCTGATGCTATCCTCCATTCCAGAAATTAATTTGGGGAAAATAGAATGTATTTTGAAATGCAAACTATGTTCTTAGTAAACAAAAATGCATGTGATACAAAAAAATGTCAGCAAATATGACAAATATCTAATAAGTAGCAGAGGTTGAATCTCAAATCTCTGGATCTCTGGATCCTTTCCGAAGGAAAGGAATTTAAAATTCTGGAATCAGTTTAATAACAGCAGAAGCCTACCTGAGGAGTCCATGCAATCTTCAATGCTAGTGGCTGTGAATTTCCAGCCAAGAATATGATGGTAGTCTTGCAAAAAGTTTATTGTTCCCAAAGGGGATTCAAAAGGAGCTTTATCTGAAATACCAGAAAAAATCAAAATTATTTATGAGAAAAGAAATCGGACTTTTTGGAACTAAAAGCCTATTACAAAGCCATGCATACGCTTGACAGGCCAGATGCAAATAGACCATAATACTTATATTATTATGGCCTAGTCCAGCCAAAAAAGGACTGGTAGACAAGTGTGGAAAAACCTGACATCACTGCCTATAATTATTCCCCATAAGATTCAACTCCAACTGCTGAATTTTCCAGCTCTGTAAGATGCTAGTGAAACTCATTGCTGGAAAACTGAAACAAAATTCTAGAGAGCTACAAGATGTGGTGATGGATGTTGCTACCAAGTCAGGTGATATGAACTGTTCCAAGTACAATAAACAGACTTATGATGACTTTACCAATACAGAGTCACAGAATCAAAAAATGGTTTGGGCTGGAAGGGACCTTCAATGTCGTTTTGTTCTAACTCTCCCATCCTAGACAAGGACACCTTCCACTAGACCAGGTTGCTCCAAGCCCTATCCAGCCTGGCCTTGAACAGGGATGGTTCCATCCAGGGATGACCCCTCCAGGTCTCATCACCCTTGCAGAGAAGAATTTCTTCCTAATATCTACTCTAAATCTCTCATCTTTTAGTTTAAAACCATTCCCCTTTGGCCCATGATTATCTGCCCCTGTAAAAAGCAGCTCTCCCTTTTTTTTATAAGTACTGGAAGGTCATAACAAACCTTCTCTTCTCTAGGCTGAAGATACCCAACTCTCTCTCTGAGTCTTTACAGCAGAGGTGTTCCCTCTGAGCATCTTGCTGGCCGCCTCTGGACCCTCTACCAGGTCCCCATCTTTCTATTGCTTAGAACCCCAGATCTGGATGTACTTTGGTTGAACTAAACTGCACTTCTCAGGGAGTAAGAATCAGGCTTAACATGATTAGGGATGCCAAAACATCTAGCTAGCTGCTGCAAGACAGGAGAAAGAATATTTCTTGCAGCAAGTATTGTGAATGTACCATATGATAGAGTCTGAAACACATTATTTATGCTCCAAAAAATTATTAAATGACTGTCAATTGCTTTCAGTATGAAATTAGCTCCTAATTCCATTAGGTACACACTGTTTGGTCCAGTAAGATTCCACAATGAAAACATACCTCTTATGCAATTCATCCAGCTCATTAAGTAGTTGCTGGTTTGCTGAAGCAGGACGTTGTTATCTCCCTCATATGTGCAGTTTGGATCATTGTCATTTCGGATTTCACCCAGACGATTCACTTAAGAAGAACAAGTGCATGGTTTAATATATTGCAACATATTAGTAGAAGCTAAGAGAGATTACATTATTATTCTGGGACAAAATGCAGAACTGTCTATTCCTGGATGTAAAACTACTGTTACAAACAGATGAGCTTGAAAATTCACCGATTACCTTGTACCATAAAGATTTTAGAAAAGTGTGGCATTAAACTGACAAGAGAAATTTTCATCTAACAAGTCTGCATCTTCATATTTCAAACTGAGACTGAATTACTTGTACTTGTACTGAAGTACTTGCAGTCTGCCCAAATGCTGGTGCAGATCCTATACTGGTTTAGTTAGACTTTTTTAAGACTTTAGGTATGAAATAAAATTTAAAAATATAGATATGACGATAAAATACCCTCTAAACACATCGCTAATTCAGAAATCATAGCACACAGCAGTCAAAGAACACATCAAAATAACCATTCTGTTTTTGATCAGTGCATGTAGTGTCTGTAACTTACTGGCAAGGTATCCATGCCCTCCACAAGCTTCTCGGCACTCCTGGGCTGCCTGCTGAGCAGTCCAAGATGCCAGAGGTTTGCTGGCAGCAGATAAAGCATGAATCTCACGTCCCAAATCAGCCTTTACGAAAAACAAATTATTAATGAGGAATAACTTTTATAGAAATTAAGCTGGTGACCAGCTAAAGCGATAGATAACTGCTTTATAATGAACAGTAACTGGCAATACAGACATAAAACTCTCAGAGATCTATGTAAGTGAAAAGCAGATCCTTTGGTGCCACAGAAAAATTCTGTGACAAGTGAGGAACCTTCAGCACCAACTTTCCTATATGAGACAGCAATAATTTCTGTCAGGTAATGGGCACATGGGTGTATCTTTGCTCAGCTGTACCAGCCAGCACAGCACTGAGTTAATTCACCACCTGCCAAACTTTCCCTCCCAAAAATGGAGAAGCAGGTGGCTGAGGGTGGCCTGTCCAGAAAAAGCTTCCATTCCCTCTGTAACATAAGCAGTATCTCTCTCTCCAGCCAGCAATATGATATTTATAATATTTATTGCCTAACAGAGTTTTCACTGATCTTTTAAGCATCAGTTTTGCAAAGAGCAGGAATATTTTTATGTACACCCTCAGAGACTCCAGAGAATCACAGCAGCCTGCATTTACACTAACTCTGTTGACCTTCCTTTGAAAGTTCATTTGGAATTCTGGTTTCTGGAGACAGGGGATTGATAAAACCAAATCTTGTTTAAGAGCACCTCCCTGACTGGTGTTAAGATCTCCTGTAGAACAAAAAGAATCCATAAGGATTACATTCTTCAAGTTTTCAACAATGAGATTTTTTTTGATCATGATTTTTTTCCTGATAGCCACTATTTCCACTAAGATTAGTGACTGCACTGCAGACCTCCAGAGATGAAGTATCAGGTAAAAACCTGATATCAAACCTGAATCAAACAGATTCTTCTGTGTTTTGTGCAAAGAGGAGAAAATAAAATACCCCACCATTAGTACAAATTATTTTCTGAGCTTTACTTTAGCTGAAAAAACCCTGAGGACTTAAGTACGACCTGAGCAATAAACACCCAATATGTAGGCCTTACATTTTTTTTTATTGCCAAAAATTGTAAAAATAAATAAAATTTATATGCTGTAAAAACCCAATACTGCAGTTAGTTTAATTAAGAATCAGTCCTTCCACAGAGGCTGACAGATTTCCTCTTTTAAGGGATAAATTCCAGTGGGCTGATTCTGACTGAAAAATTCAGCATTAAGGCTCAAAAGTCAACTTTTTTTGATAAAAATATTTCTTTTAATGCATGAACGTGAATTCCAAACTCATGTCAGACTGAGAGAGTCTGTGCAGGACTTAAGATTAGTGTATTTTCAGAAAGTCTTTGATATATGCTCCCTGTAGAATAATTTACAACAGTTATAAGCTGAATTTACACCATCATAATATATTTATGATAAAAATTCTGCATGAGAACATAACCTTCAATCCCACAGAAATCAATAAAATGTTAATCACTCCATCAAAACTAATCTGAATGCTTTTCTCTAAATGCAACTTCAATCAGTACTTTGCATACCCCATATTTCTGAGACATTGCTCTATCATTCTTGATCATAAGAGAGCCTAAGACTTCTAAATAGGTCTTCCATTTAACAGTTTACAGTTTATTACAGTAAGAACTCAGTGAAGAGGAAATATGCAAACATCTCACCTGTCTCTGACTCCTTTGCTTTGTCAAAACACCTGCATAAAACTCTACAAAGTTCCCAAACAGGGACTTTGATAAATAATCTAAGGCATATGCAGCAGCCAGATAAGGTAAAAGACGCCATTGCTGGAAAGAAAAGAATTAAATTGATTTGATTACAAATTGATATATGTTTTTAATGTTATTATATTGAAACAATTTATTTTTACTGTGTTCAAATGGAAAACTGCTAAATGGAGAAGAGAACAAGAACCACCTATAATATAATTTAATTACATTTAATTATGTTATAGGTGGTTATTGTTTTCTTTATACAAGTTATAGTTATATTTTAGTTCTCACATTTCATGAATTTATGATAAGTATTCTGTTAAACCAGGATAAAGGTTCACTAAAGCTTTGGGGACCGAAGACATATTTTTGCCATGTGTTTATAAAATGTCTGGCATGCCAGGGTCAGTCATGATTCATAAGTTTCTTCAGTACAAACATGACAGAGGTTGTAACCATTCCATGGGGCTCACAAAGGAAAAGAAAAACTGCTTGAAAGTCTTTGTGGTAAAGGAAGAAGGGAATGAGAGTTTCAGCAAGCAGAACCCACAGAACAAGCCAAAACTGGGAAAAACGGAGAGTCTCAAAGAATAGTGGAAAGCAGACCCTGCCTTATTCAGAAATGGTGGAAGGAAGGCACCTTCTACCAGTCTGTAGAAGCTCATTAAATCTTTCAACATTCCAAGATAAGTGTTAACCTGGAAAAAGGCACCCACACTGCAAGGACCAACTGGGCAGTTTTGTTTTCAGCACTCCTTTTAATAACCCTTGTTGTTCAGCAAATCTGAGTTTTCCCCTTTTCACAGTTATTCTATATGCAGTTTTTCTATTTTTTCAGAGAAAAAAGTGTTTTTCATCTGCATAAACTACAGGTAAACCTTGGCTATAATCCTCTTAAATCAGTATTAGCCTGAGACTTCTCCACAGTGAATGTCATTAAGTTCTATACTTTTAAAGCATACAGGCTACAAACGAGAAACTTGGCGTAGCAACAAAAGAAGCAGTGATATTTTGAAACAAATGCTACTTTCTAAAACTGCAGTACTTTCACATGTGCATGTAAGACAGTCTTTCGCTTAAAAGGTTACTATTTTAGAAGACAAACATTTCTAGGTACTTCAGAAAAACATTAATTTTTTTGGTTTTGCTATTCTAAGAACTTATTTTAAAAGCCTGGTCATGTCAGGAGAAGGTTTTGAGCTGGAATGAACCCCCACAGCTGTACTAGAATTCAGGTGACACAGACAACTTTAATTTCATAAACTTCAGAGTCCCTAGTGTGATCTGCAGTAGCTCTGAATGTGAGTTTCATTATACTGAAGTCTGTAGATTGAATTCCAAAGTATTTACCTGTGTTTGGTATTCAAGGACAGGTATTTCTTCATCCTCAGCTGGTCCAAACTGACAGCGAGCTGCTGAGAAGCGAATGGCTATTGTCAAGGCAAGCTTTAAGATGGCTGTGGAAAGTCCTGTGATTGTAATTCTGCCAGTGGACAAGGATCCCAGAGCTGCACTGAAACGTTCTTTAACCTCCTGAATGAATAGAAGGCACAAAATGAATGCTGAGGCTAACATTTCATTTTACCCCCACAAAGATGCAACTCGGTGGCATGATCAGAAGCAGTTTGCCAATTCTGTCTCTTGACTCATTCAGATGAGGCATTCAGGTGAGACTCAAAATAGTCTTGCCTGAGCACAGCCAAACTCTAAACTCTTTGGGATCAGTGAGCTGAAACATCTCCGAAATGCAAATAAAAAAACAATATTCGTATCTCATGTGAAACTGCCAACAGCCTTCTTAAGTTACGTATCCTGACTTCTTGACATTAGAGACCCATTGCTCTGTCTCTCAACCTACTTATACCTTTGTATATTTATTAAAACAAACCCTTGTTTCATACCTTGATAGAACTTGAATACTTCCCCTCAGCTGTGACATCTCCAGTTATACTCAGTATGTTTTCTTTTGGTATCCTGACGTTGTGGAACATGGCAAATCTGTTGAAACAAGTATGCAAACAGTATAAAATCTATGTCTACATAGTCTGGGGTGTTTATATTACAGAAAAAAGGTCACAAGAAAGAATGGATTGCAAAATATTCTCAGGTATGTCAGTGAACTGACAACAGAGCCCATCAGGCCAGGTAGGCAATTTATGCCTGAGACAACAAAGACTTTCAGACAAAGAGCAGTACAATAAATTCAAGAAGAGAAATTAATTGTTATAACGCTTCAGATTTTTTTTTTAAGATGATGCTTACAAAACAAAAAAACCCACTTCATTGACTCTAGTAGACCATTTTAGCAGCTTTGTAAGGAAAGAAGTAAAAAAGAATGGAAGGATGAACAATGTGTTCTGGTTGAGGAACGAGACAATTAAAGTTACTTATTAGCGACCTTGCACACAGGCAGTTGACACCTCAGAAATCTGAACTGAATTCTCAGCCTGCATGACTTAGATTGCCTAGGTTGGAATATCAGCAGTCAAAAAGCTTGGGAAGATGAACAACTTCCTTCTTCTGTCTAGAACAGGCCTGGGCCATTCTCATTCCAAATAATTCCCTGCCTCAAACAATTCTGCAGAACTGTATTCTTAACTGAGGTGATGTTTAGTCCAGTCTGGAGACTGCTTTGGAATAGAGACACTATATATTTTTATGAGTCTAAAATAAAGATCTGTGAGAATCACTCACTCTACTGCAATACAAACAAGGACATAGCTGAAATAGTGCCCTGAGAAGGAACTGAAAGGAAAATTTTTCTTTGTTTAAACTCAAATTAAGAATTCTATTCCCTGAAATGTGGCATCTTAGAAAAGGAAGAGCAGGATAACCCATTCTAAACTGCAGCACTCCAGCAGCAATAAAGAGGGAAGTTCTTAAGATAGGAAGAATGTCCTGAGTAATCATATTCGTCAGGAAGAAAGTGATTGAATGTTTTCACCCAAATGGGCAGCACAATTTGGCACAATAACAGCAGTATCAACCCCACTCACAAATATTTCACTATCTAATAGCACTTGAAAAGCTGTATTTGTAATCAAAGAAAATTCCTTTTTCCTGCCAATAAAGGCTGATCTATTTAATATGGCTCACGAGAGCCAGGTCTTTCACATTAATAAATTACATAAGGGCTGCATTGCTGCACGTGCTTTTAAATTATGAGTCGTTTCCAAGGAAACATATCTGAGTAGTGAATTTATTCAGCCTTAGAGATACACAGTATTTTCAGACTTAGACATGGAGAAAGGCGTACTATCCTAACCAAGAACCAGCTGCCTCAACAACTCCAGTAAGTGCTTTGTTAAATGCCAATTTCAGTGAGACTACACTACTTAGTAATAGAAGCAAATTCAGATTTTCCAAAAATCTGATTTCCATCTACATTAATATTTTTTAATATCACTGAAAATAAAAAACCTTTTTCTAGAAAGATCATTTGGCTAAATTCCTATTCTCTGCTCCCTATATCCCAAACAGAATCACAACTAAAACTGTACAACAATCGATACTTTTAAGCAATAGCATGAACCTTAGAAAGAACTTGAGCTTTTAAATTATTATTACTTATTACTTTAATTACAGAAGAGTGTATGTGGCAAGGTTTAGGTTTCTAGTTTACACTCTTTTTTCACAGTGGCTGTCCATCCACAGAATTCCAAGAAGGTGCTTCCTCCTAGAATCTTACAATGCAAGCATAAGGCAGGAAGCTACAAATACACTCAAACAGTGAAGCAGACACTAATTACTGAAGAATATTGTCCTGACAGCACAATAGCAGCTTATCAATGACATTTTTTACAAGCCATTAGGGCAAATGAGAATTTTAAGAAAAAATCAGAGTGATGAAAATAAGAGAGCTCCACAGATGTGTATAAGGATTCCTCCCAAGAAGGAAGGAATGCACAGAAAAAAGCAATAAAATATTAAAAAGCTATTAAATGGGTGATAACTACTGGAATTATAAGCCAGACTAAAGGAAGAGTTGACCTAACAGGAAGAGGATACAATCTTTGGAGCACATATTAGGACCATATTCCAAAGAGTTCCAGTTCTTAGGCTTTCTCTCTGCAAATATCTATCTGGAACATGCTTAGCTTCATGTGAGATGAATGGTAAGATTTCATGGCAACATTCATAGTCATTAGGCTGGAAAACACCTCCAATATCAGAGTCCAACCACTACCCCAGCAGCACCGTGTTCACCACTAAACCACGTCTCCAGGTGTGACATCCACACATCTTCTGAACTCTTCCAGGGATGACGACTCCACCCCTTTTCCCTGAGCCTGTCTCAATGTCTTAACACTCTTCCAGTGAAGAAATTTTTCCCAGTATCTAACCTAAACCTCGCCTGGTACAACTTGAGAACACTTCCTTTTGTTCTATTATTTGCTACCTGGGAGACAATGACAATGAATAATATGGGAAATTATCCTCTGTTATGTGTTTTGTTTTACACTGTAGTGATTAGTTCAATTAACTGAGCAAAGTTGTGCAGTTGTAGACATTTTTTTATATTGACCTGTGCTTGAAACTCAAGTGTTCATAAAAAGCAAATTGAGAGCTACTACTTTATAAACCTATATAGCAATTGCCTACTTTAAGGAATTTCAAGCCTGCTCATAATGAACATGTGACAGATGTGTGCAGAACAAAACAGCTCCCAAAATGAGCTAAACTATTTTATCCACTTTCACTTGCTGTAATACAATCCCAAACAGTTAAATCTAAGGGAAGTCTCCTGCTGTAAAGAGTGAAAAACCTTCAAGAAAGTTTTACTATAATCTGACACAAATATAAGGAAGCTAATTCTGTACCACATAAAAAATGACCTAAAATTATTATGATTAAAAAGTACAAGCACACCCTTCTTCAATAACTTCTTTCACAGCTAGTGAACCAGAATACTGAATTTCCTATCATTTTATGATAGCCTACTTTCTTAAAATCAAAATGAATTCAAGTAACAGGTTTTTAAAGTTTAGATTTTTTTTTTCCCTTGACATTATCCATTACAGATGTATTATATAAAGATATGTGAATATGCATATCAGATGGTAAAAACTTTAGAAGCAAAGCAGAGCAGCAGAACTGGCAATTAAAAATTCAACAGAAAATTTCCATGTGTAAAGAAATAAGGTATTTTGCCTACAAGCACAAGTGTCAAAAATAAAATAAGAACCTCACAGGACTGGTGAGTTAAGCGACCTTGTGAGATTGCTGCCAACTGCTGTTATGCTCCTTCTCCAAGAACTTTGCTATTGGGAATTGTCAGACATACTGGCCAACTGGAACTTGGTATTGGAACATATTAAAAATAAATAGTAAGATTTAATGAAGTCAATGATCACGTTTTTAATGGTTATTAGCCTAGAAATCATAGACGTGGCCCACATCTGTCAACGCATTTAGGGGAAAAAATCTCCTTAAAGAATTGAAGAAATATCTTACAATAACGGAACTGTACACACAGTCATGGGGATATCATGTACCAGCAAGTTTGGAAAATGGCTAAATTTCACACAGTGATGACAAGACCAGAGACTTGAAAGCCGCCCTACTTAGGGCCTCTTCAGCACAGCAGATAGCGTGACTGAGATTAAGACCTCTCAGCAAGGCAGACAGACAGACAGACAGCTGTCACTTTAAATAGATATCAGAGGGCTCTACAGCAATGAGCAATTTTGCATCATGTAGACGCATTTTTTACCACAGATAAAAAAAAAACCCTGTATCACATAGATTTCTACCAAGAGCAGCTGAGCAGAGTAAAGTGCCATTCCAATAGTAGCATTCTTGTTTGGGTTCTTTGGCCAGTTGGCTAGGGAACATTTCAAACTAAGTTAATCTCACTGCCTTTAAATCATGCAATAGTAATTCATCTGGTGTGCAGTAATTCTGATAAAAGAGGAGCAGCTGGAAAAGCTACGAGCTCCTTTTGCCAGTACTAAAGTAATAAACTGTTACCTATAGTACAAATAGCTCAAACATGCTTTGGTGAACTTCAGACTTACTAAAATGCCTTTTCTGCCAGCTTTTGTTACTGACTACATTAGAGATGGTGCAATCATCTCTAATGTCAGACTTCCAGCCAGAAACAGAAAGCAGGTGAATGGTATTGGAAGGCTGTGAGTCAATAAATATCAGGGCTGTTTATGGGATACTGTAAACCTTGGGAAGAATAACATTTCAGAGGTTTGATAAACTTGCAGAAGGAAAGAAAACTGCCACATATTCTAGACTGAAACTCACAGAAAGGTTAGAGATGAAAACAGTTACTCTTACAGTGAAACTGAGGAAAACTGCAGGGCAGTATTTTTTTTTTTTTAACTTTCTACAATCAAGGCTTTAATCTAAGAATGCAGCTCTGGACAGTAATGCTCAATGACAACAATAAAACAACATAGCAGTTTATAGGCCTCCTAATACTAACCTAATGGACTTCACAGGCACACAATGACCCACTCACACTGAAGTTCTTACAGTCCAAGTGCTAGTGTTGTGAGGAGCTCTGGATGTGCACACTCCTGCAGCTGGCAAGAGCTGACAGAGCTCTGCTAAAGAACAAAAATGGGTGGTTGAATTTCACTGCAGATGTGAGGCTGTATTTCTGTGCATCAAAAAACAAATGTGCAACCAGATTTAAATCTAACTTTCCCCATTTTCAGCCACATCAAGTGCCTTTCAGTGTGAAGTAGCTATTGCTGTAGAATTTTGAGGCACACGAACGTGACAAAAATGAGGGGATAAGGCAGCACTCTGCAGCAATGTGACCACAGACAAGTAACACGTGCAGCACTCCATGTACCCACATAGTGTCCAACCCTGACTGCAGAAACTGCATGAGGAGGGCAAAGCAGGGAAATGTCAATGATTCTGCTGCAAAAAGCATGGCTTTAACTTAAACTGTAAACATGCAACATACCTGGTTTTAACTGTGGAAGCGCCACTTCTCACAAGGACTAACGTGTTCATGGTGTATTCAGATAACATAAATACAGGCACAGGCATTTTAACATTATTTTTTCTTCTACAGCCACTTTATTGGTATGGCTATTACAATTGTTTGAAACTTAGATCAGAGGCTGTAAGTCAATAAAAAATATTAAAAAAGCCCAAGCTTGTTTATTTGGGAAGCAGGATTGATTTTTAGACTTGATTTCTTACATCTCTGCTCTTTTTCCTGTACCAAAACAGCCACTCCTAAGGGCTTGCAGTGAACCAGACCTGACAAATTATCTGACTGAAGACTACAAAAATTGGTAGGGTTTTCAGGCAGTTCCAGTTCCCCTAAAGACACATAAATGTTCATCACAGCAGAAAGAAAAATGCAGTCTGGGAGTAGAAGCAAATAACCAAAGAAGCTGATTATGGATATTATCTTCACTGAACTACTGTTTCAGATTGAAAGATAAAGTTCCAAAGACTATTTAGGCTTAAACTATGTATTATAGCTCCTATCTTCCTAGTGAAATAACTGCAAAAGCTGCAAAATCTAAATGAGCATTAAGAAGATAAATAATAGAAGACAAAAAGGACTAGAATGATTGTTCTGTCCTTAAACTAGCAATAGCAACATCATAATGTATTATTGGCAGTGATACTGAAATAGTAAGGAAGAAACAAAGTATGAACTAACCATTTAAATGCAATTTGTAAAGGCTTGGAAGTCATGTGATCTATCCCATTTTTGTCAATATACAAGGAATTATAGTGAGGGCTTTCTGAGCCACCACTTTTCAGAAGGGATCCTTTTACACAATTTATTGCTTTTCTGTCCAATAAATCCCCCTCACCCATTTGTTCTTGGGCATTCTCTTTTGTTTTTAGTATCCAGAACACTGAATCTGGCCTCACTGATTGCTAAAGAACATGCTGAACATCTTAGTGTGTTGTATGTGTGCAAAGACTGACTACATTTAAATTTCACATGAAAGCCTGTTAACCAGCTAATAAACCCCACTAGTTTTCCCAAGCCCAGAATTATCATTAGATCCAGTTAACAATTCTTCCTCCACAAAGACTCTTTTCTCCCCTACAAAGGCTTAAGGTAAAATGACAGTTTCATTTATCTAGTTCTTCCCTTACAAAGGGTTTTATCTGCTCAAACTGTATCCATGTTATCAGTGGACAAAGCCAAATGAGCTCAGAACATGTTTTACAAAGACAGGCATGGTAAGCACCATTTCAGAAATACAGTTATAACTGATTTTCACTCTTCCCCATGCAGATTCAGTTGGGCATCATTTCCATCTCTGGAGAGGGGAAAGCAGAAATTTGCTGTTTGTTACAACTGGGCTCGAAACTGGTTCACCATCAATTCAGCGTCAATCATTTACTGATGTTCACTGAAGTAATAAGTAATTTAGGCAATGCTCCAGTAGCTAAGGTACATTCTTTCCCACATCCCCCCCCGCCAAAAAAAAAAAAAACAACCAACAACAACAACAAAAAACCCACACCAAAGGAAGGAAACAGAAATGCACATTAACACACAGCCCAGCTCTTGCTTTATATATGCGTCACCCTCCCACTCCTTATGCCTGCCACGCATTTTACTGAAAAGCCCCTGAAATCCCAAATACTTAGGGATCTTTCCAGCAGTTTTTTTTTTCCTCAGCTACTACCATTTTGGGTCCTCAGTGAGCAGCATATTTCAAAGACTCCCAGAGCACCAGCAACAGGTGGACATTTTAATATTATAAAATAAAGGCTGAAGCATTTGCATCCCCTGGTGGCAGTCTGATTTAATTTCAGTAACAAAACACAAACCCAGTCTAAACTCTCCATAAGAGAAAAATCAGACTTGTATTTTTACCCCTTTATGCAGTGATTACACAAATTATTGTAAATTTCCTAGAGAAAGAAAAATGTTTTAAAATTTTACAGTGATTTTGTCTTTTTTTATCAGGGCAGCTAAAGTTACAAAGACCTGAAAGCACCATGTGATTTTTGGACATTCAAATTATGAAACTATGAGAATTATTTAGAAAGATAATTTTAGAAATGGATTTAAACTGCAAAAATTCTTTCTTTTACTAAAAACATTACACTCTGCATCAGCATGAAACCAGCTTTCAGCCAAACAACCCAAGAGATTAATTGTTTTTCAAAGCCAGAATGGACAACTACAATCAACTATTCTGTTTTCTTACATAGCATAAATCAATAACATTTTCTAGAGGCTCTGGAATTTCTTCCCCATGACCTTCATTATTGTTCAGGAACTTAACTCTCTGTATCGATATTGAAAATTATTAGCACAGAAACAAAATCAAACATCTCTGTCATAGATGTCAGACTCTGATCTCCAAGATGACCACATATCCTGAGTATAAGTACATGGAAATAGACCTGATTTACTAATTGTCCATGGTAGTTGAACCAGACTTCACATACACATTCAAAAAAAACTGACAGTAGTGGAGACTAACACAAATCTGTGCTTTCTTTGGGATAAACGAGGATGTAAGATTGCTAAATGGCCAAGGAGAACACCTTGGCAGGGCCATATCTGGTGAAATGTCTCTCTGTGGATCCTGGCATTTTGCAGATCATGCAACCAAGAGTCCATTTTCCAGGGTGGCATGGCTTGTTGTCTCTGCAAACAAATGCAGAACTTCCTCTCCGGTCCCCATCCAGACCTTCATGTACCTCTGAGAGCCAACATCTCCAAGCCCTGATGCTTCTGACATCTCAGTGTGAGCAGGAAGGTTGCAGAACAAAACTTGGTTCCCTGGTTCTTGAGAACAGTGTTCGCCTGCCTCCAATCCTAGACCTCTCCAAAAAACAAAAACAACCTAGCTAAAGTAGTTCAGGAACTCAGACCCCTGGAGTTTTTAGCTAAATGAGGGGTATCTATGGGTAACCTTGGACTTCCTCATACTCTCTTAATCTGCAAGTGCTGTCTTAAGGTTTCTAATGCAGGGACTGTCTTAATGCATATTTAAGAGATCTAGATCCATGACTGGGGCTCTTTGGGCACTACTGCTTGAACATAATAATAATTTTTTTAAAAACAACATATACAAAATAAACAGGAATGCCCTATGCTTTAAATGATATATGATGTCAACTAAGATCAGGGACTCCATCTGACATTAAGATAGGAAGTAACTGGTATCTCACTTAAAGGGCATTTTACAAATGATAATTTCAAATTATTCAGTTATTACCAATATTTTAAGAAATACTCAATTTTTTCCCAGTAGATAATGGAGAAATTGATTTAAAATTATGTACATTTTAAAGTCACATAACAAGCATACTCTTCATTCCCGTTTTGCACATAAATCTATACTGCAATATAAGAATGAAGAGCAGAATTTAAATATTTTAATAGAAACATGAAGTTGACTCAGGCCCATGCTGCTGTGCCATCTGGTGGCTACTAGTCTGTAATGCAGAAGCAGGAAAAAGCACCCACCAAACTTTAAACATCCCTCTTTTCCAAGTCTTTCTCACAGCTCTCCTCTATAAATTAATTTTGGGTTGTTTCAGATTTTTTAAATTTATTTATTCTGTGTCTTCAAGAAACAGAGAATCAGTGAGAATGAACTAAATAACTGTAAAATTCCTACAACCTTCTGGAAAGACAGCCAAAGTCATAATATTTGAAACCAGGATACTTTAAGATGTCTATACTATGTTTAATATTTTAAACCAGGATACTTTAAAATGCCTATACTGTGTTTACTGCAATGGCCTGTTTTGAAGGACAACACATAAATGTGTAAACTGAATCAACAGAAATAAGTCAATTTGAGACATAAGGAAGTGAAACCCTTCTTTACCATTTAAAGTTTATGTCTTTATAGGGAACTACGTAATTAATGCCAGGGTTTAAACAATTTTTACATAAAGACTGTTTTAATGCAGAAATCTACCTGTTTCCTCCCCATCAGACACCTCTGCTTAGTAAAGCAGACACAGAAAGGCCCTTGGAATCCATGACTAAGAAATGGAGCCATTTTTCCATTTCAGCTGTACACTCACAATACAGAAGAAAATAACTAGCCTTCTCTTTCCTGGCTACAGTCTAGAAATCCCACGGTTTAAACAAGATAAATAGTGTCTCTCTTCAGTCTCATTTATCTTATCTTTACTGAAAATAAACCTTGTCTGGGGACCACCACTAGCCTTCCTCTGAACTGGAAATCAACAAAAAAACAAAAAAAACCAACCAAACAAAAAAAATAAAACAAAAAAAAAAAACAAAAAAATTAAAGTCTTACATCCAGATTGGTGCAGAAGCTGATAAAGTTCTCTACTCAGAACTTACTAGATTTTTTTCCATTATTATTGTTGAAGAGTCTGTAACTGCAAGATTGCCTTGGGATATTCACAGAATACCAGGAACACTTCACATTTTAAAAAGAGTCAGAAAGGCTGAAAAAGGCTGTTTATTCAGACAGAAAATACTGAAAATCAAGATCTTTCAGTCTGGATTTTTTTATTTAGAAGTATCAACAATTTTAAACCACTAGTGAACACTTGACGAGTAAGGGACAGAACAGATACAGGGGGATCTTTGCACCACTACATTGTGACATAACCTAGAATGTTTTCTCTTTCAAATGTATTGACTTACCCATTATCATACCCATTGAGCCCAAGTTTCTCTCCTATGTCACCCACCATCACACCTGGCATTGGTAGGAGAGTTTTTGTATCTCGAATCTGTACAGAAGTTAAACAAAACATTTCAGTAATAGAGCAATGAAAGTTAATGCCTGAATTTTTCAAAAGTTGAAAATATTCCCAACTTGTACCCTGTTATTAATGATAAAGTGACCTCTCTGTTTTTTTCAAGCACATAATCCTGCATATAACTTGTACTTACGTATCCTCTCATTCAGGACATGGATACTTTAATGAAAATTGCTTTGGAAGATGACACTAATTACACCACTGCTTTAAATATCCCTTAACACTGATGACTGCTCTCATCAGATTAGCACTGAAACCTCCTTCAGGTGTACACAGACAAAGCAGAAACCAATGAAATTTTTATGTAACAACCAGCTTTGAGATATTACAATTCTGTAATTCACTTTGTTCAGTCTGCAATTAGTCTAGTCCATTTTACTACATTTTTCTATTGCACAAAGGCATATTTTCTGATGCCTTTAATTTTATAAAATGATTTCTGTGGTAGAAGTTTTCAGATTTCATGCAGATCAGCCTGAAGCATTGGCAGACATAAATCATCTTAACTCCCGTGCAAGACTTTCAGCACTTCATATGACACAGATGAGTTCTAACTATATAAGTAGCATGATCATCTGGAGACTTTACAGCTCTTTTGTATTTGCAGAAGTTTTTGCAGAAAACTGACAGTATAAAACCAGCTCTACAACCTTCATAAAATCAATGGACATTTGAAAGAGGTATCCTGGTTACAACTCAAACGAATTTTGAAGGTATTAAATAAAGCATATGCTGGTCAGGTATAAATAACAGCATAACAAAGTCTTTAATTTGAACCCCCTCTTCCCCAAAAGAATAAAATTATAAACAATATTTCTACCCTACTTGTACAATAAAGGGATGTAATCCTTGGCACTGTCCATCAGGAGTATAGAGCTGGGCATATACAACTGCATGTGTGGCATGTTTCCCCATATTACCAATCCAGAACTTTGCAGCTTCAAAATCAGGTGTATTGATAACAAATTCCTGTAGTCAGGAAAGAAAAAGAAAATTTTAGAAATAATAAAAATCAGGTCGCAGCTGATTTTTTTTTTCATCACCCTTGCAATGTTCTGAAAACATTCATTAAATGCCAGGATTTTCTGCATTCCAGCACCTGAGATCTCTCTTATTGTGTTCAACGTTGGAGAGAACACATTTAGTAAGGAAAAAAATTAAGAGTTCAAAAAGCTCATGACCTCATTGTAAAGCCTGAAACTCAGCTTTTTTATTGCTCATTTAAGGAGTAATAAAAAAGAAAAGCAGACTGATGGACTGGGAAGCATTTCCTAGATCTTAGGTTAAACTGAGCTGCAAGTTCAAGTGAAGAACTGAGAGAGTTGTTTCAGCTGTGAGAGCTGAAGCCTATGCAGGGACCAACTCCTTCTTACACAGTTTTGCATGGAAAGGAAGCCTGGCTGACAGTGTGCATCAAGGACTAACCTGAGTGCTGGGATCAAACGTGGCTGTAGTCCGTAAGCCTTTGGTGTTAGTTCCATGGCTGAGTTCAGTCAGAGCAAAACATCCAAAAATCTAAATAAGGAGATGGAGGGCACAGTTCAAGACCACTTTATTACATTAATTGAAACTGCAAGACTTTCAAATTATTTCAAATTCAGCTAGCAGAGAGTAACTTGGCAAAAAAACAAACAACAAACCAAGTTTCATTAATTGAAACTGCAAGACTTTCAAATTATTTCAAATTCAGATAGTGGAGAGCAACTTGGCAAAAAAACAAACAACAAACCAAACAAAACAGGAAATGATAAAGAGCAACACAAGAAGCACAAGGGTCAGTTTAAGTGCACTCAAAATCAGAGGCTCTGGCCAAACAGTGAATGCTGCTCACTGGCCTAGACTGGACAAAATGTTTAGGATTGGCACCTTCTGTATCAGAAAGGCTGCATTTATTCTGCAGAGTACTTGGTCATGAGTCCCCACTGAACTCCATGTGGTATTTCTTTGGCATTAAGACGTTATTATTTTCCATTTTATAGTACTAGAATGGCATTTTTATGGCAACATGTCAAGGTTAAGAGTATCCTAGCAGGATACTCTTAAATGACTCTGGATAGAGTCTGAACTGGTTTAATGTCATCTATATTGCCTTTTGGGAAAAGTTCCCAAATTTTGTCTGCGTGTTAACTTGGACAGTCTAAAACATATCCAGGAAGTGGTTTATGAGCTAGTAGTGAGGACAGTCAGAGCTCAATGCTTGAGTCTTCTCCATAGTCTTTTCTTTTGCTATTTAGAAGTACCTAGGTATGTAAAGAGATCAGAAATAACACAAAACTGCAAATAGTGCAAACACAGTTCTGATAGTGCCCATTTCTCACAAATTACTAGAAAAAAATTACCTCCATCCTATAGGTTTGCTCCAAAATGTGTGCAAATTTCTCATAAGCACTCATAATTGGACCTGCAAATATCTGTAAAAACAAAACAATGAATGAATCAGTGCCCTGTGATGAAAAGCACAAACTGCATGTGACTTTCAATAGTGATGTCCAGTAAGGAGACCAGGGAAAGTGGTCTGCACAGTAAGCTATAATTAGACTATAGCTTGGGGACATAAGTCAGGATTTGATCTTGTCAAGGCCCCTTCATAGATGACTGAACTTGTCCCAGCTCTAACCTCTTCAAGCCTTCATTGCAAATGCTTAGAAATACTTTCCACTTGTCCTTAGTGTCCTTGAGCAAAGGAAAACTTAAAGACTATTTTAGTTCATTTTACTGCAGATTGGGAACTGAAGGTAGCCGCTTCAGGATCAAACAAGAATGCTTATTTGAAAGCTACCTTCAGTTTTGCTACATGGACATTCACACAACAAAACTCCTAGATGCTCCCCAGCTATGTGAATAGTAATAATTAATTAATTAAACTGATAATATTTGACCAGCTATGCTGAGCATTCTTTGTGAGAGATCCATCTGGGAAACAACTGATTAACAAAATTCAGCCACTGATGTCAGTGAGAAATTTTTGGATTATGCCTTTCATTAAGACAGTGGGGCTCAAGCAGGTAATTTCTGACACCCGCAAATCTTAAGCAAACACACAGCCACCAATAACCAAGTTCTTTGGCTGCCCTAGAGAGGAGTAAACAAAAGAAAGCATCAAAAATGTTTTCTGTAGCTCTGTCTGTACCGTTTCACCTTTACTTTCCAGGTAGGATTCCAGTGGAGACAGGGGTTTAACAACAAAAATTACCCACAGCTCTCTGACCCTTCTAAACAGTTAAAACTTAATACTGTTTTTGAAAAGAAAGGATGAGGAGATCAAATTTTAATAAAATGGCATAAAGCAACAGAATTACGGTACTAGAAGTTACTTCAATTCAAACATACACCACTATAGCCCTTGAACTGTACTTACAGTACAATGTAGGAAAAACTGGAGACATAGAGAACAATCATACATTCCTAGAAATGACATCATATTAAAAACCCTAAACGGCTGCTCCATAATCTCTTGCGGTGTGAGAAATTCATACTCAAAAAGCCTTTTACAGCGCAGGAAGGTCAGCTCCTGATATTTCTCACGGCATAAATCTTCTCCAGGATGATGTGCAAAGAGAGGATCATTTTCCAGAGCAGAGAAGACTCTGTTCTTGGAGGGGAAAAAACTGACATGAGAATATTAACCTAAAAACATTAACAAAACCAGTTAACTTTCTTCTAGAATAACACTGGGTCGCACACTATGATTGTTTGCTGGAAGATATAAACTTAAAAAGCAAAAATTCCAGAGAATTAGGAAATATATTTAAATTATCTGTCATATATACAGCTCATGCAGCTAAATTTTATGATATCTCCTTCACCATTAAGTGATTCACTCTGGATCTACATGAACAGTATAGCAAAACTTGTTTTGTGTCACAGCTTCACTATGTCAATAAATGAAGCTGCTGGCAGAATCTAAGGGGAAGAAGTCCCTCAGACTGAGGATAAAGGTACAACTCCAGGGCTTACATTCAGTTAGAAATATGCCATCATGGTAAAACCATTAAGCTACCACAACTGTTCTGTTCCAGATGAAGGTAAAAAAAGGCTCCATTTAAAGGAACCATCATAAGCAGCCCATGAATGTGGTGATGTGCATCTTTTAATGTTGTAATTTGGATCCTTTTTGTATTAGGTAATATATTATGGCATTTTTTTTTATCCCAGACCTGTGTCTTCAAGAAATCCACATCTTCTTAACTGTCTTTCACATAAAAAGGAAGAAACCCAGACTTCCTGTGCTTTCCTTTGAAAGGCAGTCATTCTCTTTCTCTGTGTAAACAACTCTTCATGCCCACACAGCTTTGAAACTCCTTCAGACACAGAACACTCGAGGGTTTGTTTTCCTCTGCTCTAACACACACCAGTCTGATGTAGAACCAGGCCTTTTTGATTTCTCTGATCTACCTGCTAGGATTTTTATAATTATGGTGAAGATTCAAGGTTACTTAAATCTATATAAATCTACACCACCTTCAGAAAGCTAGTTCTTTCTCCTATACCTCCAAGTCGTGAATTTCCATACCATCTCTTATGCTACAGTTAATCCCTCTTCTTGGAAGGGTTAGCTTTCAGCAAGGTTCATATGCAATGCCACATAAGCATTAATGCAAGCACAGAACAATGCAGGTAATTAGGTCAAAGTAAGACAAAAATATTGTTTGACAGTGGCTTGAACTTAGCTCTGCACAAGTGCCTTGCAAAACCATGTGATCTACGATTTAATGCAAACAGTAAAGAAATACGGTAGAATAGAGTTATTTCTCAGTTTGAAATGAACACTCAAGTTATGAAATGCACCTCTACTGATGTTCAGTAATTGAGACTTATGAGACAGCAGAGTAGATTGCTTAAAAATTCAGCTCTGTTCTGAAAATTGGCTGTGCAAATCAAATTTGTTCATGCTCCATATTTACAGAGTATTATTAACAACACCCCCTTTAAAAAAAAACATACTTACTTCTACTGTTATCTCCACAATTAAAACATGTTTACAATTCTTGCAAAGTTTACCTTCAGCTGTATGATATCTTCACCATCTATGAACACTGCCATCTCCTTCCAGTTGAAGGAAGCTTTCTTACGATACCTGGAAAGCGGACCTTTAGGGAAATCTGCTAGCAAATTATCCCATGAATTTTGGTTGCCAGTCATTTCTTTCTGATTCATTGTTAGCTAAACTGAAAACAAGAAAAGATAAAACACAAACTGAAGCACCACATATGTCTGTCTTTTAATTATAAAAAGAAATTTAAAGTGTTAATTAAATCCATGGATTTGTTAAAATGTATGAGTACAGCACCGCAGAGGCAACTAAAAGCTTGCCCTTCCCTTTTCTAATTCAACTGGCTTGATACAAAGTAAGACAGAATGCCTTTGATCCAATGTAAATGAATTACATCAGCTTTGTTATTAAAATATGAGCTAAATATGAAGCAGGGACACCACTAGCCAAGGGCCCACTACAGACTCTGAACATAATGAAACAGGAACTACTTCAGCAGTCTGCTTTTTCCATCCCTTTTGCTCCCCTCATCACCTTGATATAGCTCCTTGATACCTCTCTTTTCATTCAACCTTATCCTTTTATGGAGGTCATGCTCTAGCTCAGAACAGTACAAACATAGAAGAGAACAGTGGGATAGTATTTCTGCATGTGACTTCCAAATCACTTCTAGGAAGATGCAGCTCCAGTACTGAGCAACAGGATTTGAAAGAGAAAATTTTTTTAAAAAAGGGACATTGAGAAAGTGTTTCAACCTCCAGCCAAATAAACAGATACTACGCCTGTAATTGGAAAATAGATAAATGAGGCAGCTCTTCACTCATAAAAGAGAAAAAAATTACATTGTAATAGTGCAGCTATTGCATCTAAGTTTATTTAGGTTGCAAATCAGTGATATTACCCAAATGAGAAAACCTATGAGTTCATAAAAAAGCATTCTGTACTTAAAATATGTTACAAATTCACTGACTTCACACAATGTTTTAATATAATTTGGTCCAAGTCAACAGTTTCAAAACTAATAAAGAAATCAAAACAGGTAGTTGCAATAGGAAAGCAACAATGGGCTGCCCTAAAGAATAACTTCAGCATTAATTTCAGCCTTGCTCTGAAATTTTGAAACGTGTGTGAAGGTAGAAGTAAAAAACACATAATTTTCAATTTGCAAAGAACTGCTGCAGTTTCACTGCAAAATGTCGAGTTGGAAACCTTTTTCTGTGGAAAGTGCTCCTGCTAGTAATTCAAATTCATAGCCGGGCACCAAAAACAGGTCATAAATCATGAGGGCAAAGGACAGTTTGCAGGTAACTACCCTCAACTATCTTACTTAATAACGACACAGCTCAGACACTTGGTAGCTGTCAAGAATAATGATACTGTACCCTTATGGCCAAGAGATGACATAACCAGTGTTTTATTTTATTTAATTTTCTAGCGGCTCTGCATTTCTGAGCAATCTGCTGCTGGCAGCGTCCCAGAGCAGGACAACCCGGGCAGGGCAAGGGCAGGGCACGAAGCGCTTCTGTGCGGGTTCGTGGCACAGAATTCACGGCGGGCATGGCTTCTGCTCAGACAGAGCAAAACCAGACTACATCACATTATTTGATAAAAAAAGACGTGCCGAGCTGTCTCCCTGATCGGCCGGGCTGATTGTGCGGTGTCAGTCGCCGTCCCGGTCTGCAGTTTGCTCTCCAGAGGCGTTTGCGCGCCGCTGTCACAGCAGCACAGACCTTCCCCAGACAGCAGCACAGGCGGGGCGACCCTCCAGCCTCACGCCCCGCTGGGAGCTGGCGGCTCCCCGTGTTTTCAGCCGCAGGACGGCACCGGAGTGTCCCTTGCGACACTCGGAGCCTCAGAACCGCAGGCCAGGAACGGGGAACCCGCTACATACCTACGACCTCCTCCGTCTCCGCCTCGGGAACTGACGGGAGCAGCCTGCGACGGGCTCCGCCTTCCGGCGCGGCGGCAGCGGGCGGTGGATGGGGCCGGTGGGGACTGCGGCCGTGCGGGACCCCGGCGGCGCCGCGCTGCCCCGCGGCTTCTGGGCGGCCGTGCGCGTGTGGCTGGAGAAGCCGCAGGTGGCCAACAGGCGGCTGAGCGGCGCCGCCGTCCAGGCGGAGGGGACGGTGCCGCTCGGCGAGGGCGGGGAGATATCGCCGTCCTTCGCCACCGCGGGGGCAGGCGGGGGCGGCGGCGGGCAGGAGGGGCGAGCGGCGGGGGCCGCGGAGCTGGGCCGGCTCTGGAGGGAGCTGCGGGGCCAGCTGGCTCTGCCGCCGCCCCTGACGGGCTGGGGCGGGCCCGGCGAGCTCCGCGCCGTGCTGAGGACGCTGCTGCCCCGGGGCCGCCCCGCCGCGCCCCCGGCCCGGGAGCTGGCGGTGCAAGGTGAGCGTGAGGGGCCGGGGCTGTCGCGGACCTGTCCCTCAAATTCACTTCTTTCTGTTGATCCAGTTCCTGACAGATTTATCTATTGTCCAAAACAGGCCATTGCAATAAACGCAGTATAGACATAGTATCCTGGTTTAAAATATTAAACACAGTATAGACATCTTAAAGTATCCTGGTTTCAATTATTATGGCTTTGGCTGTCTTTCCAGAAGGTTGTAGGAATTTTATGGTTATTTAGCTCATTCTCATTGATTCTCTGTTTCCTGAAGAGAAGAATAAATAAATTTAAAAAGTCTGAAACAACCCAAAGTTAATTTATAGCAGAAGACTGTGAGAAAGACTTGGAAAAGAGGGCTGTTTAAGGTTGGGTGGGTGCTTTTGAGATTGTCTCCTAGATGAGAGAGATGCCGTTTTTGTGGGAACGAGGAGGGACTTCTGTGTGTGCTGAGGGTTGATTTTTACTTTTCGTTGTTGTGCCAGGAATCGTTGACATTTCAGCAGTTGAAATACATGAATACAGAATTTGAAATAAAAGGGTTGTGGCACTCAGGAGCTCCTGTCACGAGTAAGCTGCCCATGCACAAATGCTGCTCCAAGCGCAGCCCTGATGACCGGCTTGCCTGGAGTGGCTATAGTGGCTGGAAACGCGGAATTAATGAAGAAAGTAGGCAGCTGTGGCACCTGCCTGGCCAATGTTTGTATCAACTTTCATAATGCTTAGTATTGCTTCAGAAAGGAGCTCAACTTGGATTTTACCTGTTGTGTTTGGGTGATTTGGTTTTTTTTTTGTTTTGTTCTGCTTTGTAATGTTTTTTTTACACTGTGTGATGGTAATATGCTCCAATAAATCCTGCTATTATAAAGAAACTTACATAGGGTAGAACTTGACCCAATTTCTAAGATAAATTTTGGAAAAAATGTTGATATGGATTAAATTCTAATAGTAATGTTTTGGAAAGGATCAGAATTCCAGAAACAACTCAACTTACAATTCAGAAAGACTGATAGTCATTTATGGGACACACTTGGGATGTTCTTTAGGCCTGTGATTCTTAACTGGTGCCTTCAAAAGAAATAGTTTATGTTGTAGTTTTGATTTATTTTATCTTTTGATGCTAAGAGAAGATGCTTCTGAACTGCATCTGTAGAGTGTATCTCTAAGAAAAAGCCTAGGAGATTTTTACATTTTTTTTTTAACAATTAAAAAATGTTAGAGCTGGCATTGCTAAGGATGAGACAAGATAGCAAGATTTAACATTAGCTCTACTGCTAATTAGTTCTTTCTTGCCTAACTCAGAAAATTTTGGAGCCCATTGAAAATTGCAAGAATGCTTGTTTTGATGGTAATTCAAAAACCAGTTTCAAAACTGAGAACTTGGTAAGTTATTGTGAAAAAACTGCCCTGGGTAAGCAATGGCTAAAAAGATTTTTTAGTTTTTTGAGGAAGTAATGCTGCATATACACCTGCTTCCCAGGACTCTGGATTTGCTGTGGGATATGGAAAAGCAGCAGTCGTATACTAGAAAAATCTTATTGTTTAGTCTTTACTAAAATAGTAAAAGAAAATGAGTAGTCCTGGTCAGCCCTAGATATTTTGGAAACATCATGCCATAGAATGCTAAATTTGGAAAATTCAAATCATCTGGTAGTTTCAGATGTCAGGAACACCAAGAACAGATCTATTCCTGTTATTATGATCCTTTCTGTATTTTCTTAGATCTTGCCTCTCTGGTTTGCAGGCAGAAGTTCATTCTGGGGCTAACCAGGGTGGGTTGCACCATGGAATAATAAACCCTTATTTGCATATCTTTTCAGATGTTCACAATGGAACTGTGACCTTTCTGCCTTTGGAGGAAAACAGTGAAGGAAAATACCAGGTTAAAAAGTGCAATATTTATCAAATTCAACTTAAACACATAAAAGACGAGGAATGGTAAGTATGGGAGTAAGAGAGAAAGCAAGCAGTAAATTATTGCAGGAGTCACACAATGGTTTAGCAGTGGTATGTAGGCAGTTTAGATTTTATAATTTTCTGCTTCATTAGTAAATTACAGTAGTGATGTGATATGAGTGCATAGCGTTCTCTAAAAAGAAACATCTACAATACCCAGAATAGTGTAAAACAAACCTTTGAATGTGAACACAGACTGTACCCAAGTGTGGTCTAGAAAGAATATGCCTCTTCTGATCACGAGGATGGCAGTGCCTCTTGGAAAGGGTCTGTGGGTGTTAGTAAGGGTGAGGGGCCAACTGGAGTAAATGACTAAACTTTAGTCACTAAATGTAGACCATTCCGTTTGGTCCTGAGCATCTGAGGATGCTCTAATAAAGTCTGAATAAATTTAGAGATGATGAAATAACGAGTTGTGGCAATAGGTATATATTTCTCTTAATTTTGCCTGTTATTTTTCAGAAATTTCAAAGGTTGACTTTCTCTGTTTAGTGTTTGGTTATCTTGTGAAATCAGATTGCTCATCATATCTGAGTCCTCATTTGTTGTGTTAAATGCAGCATGGACTCTTATGTTTGAATTGAGAGATAATGAGCTAGCAAAATTCAGGGGAAACAGTTCCATTATTCAGTAACTTCACTGGTTTATTTTCCTTTTATTTCTCTACATATTTACTTATTTTCCAGTCTAGTTTTATATCTCTGATCTGCTGATTTTCTCCACTTCATCCTTGTTTCTCTGTCCTTGAGATAGCTGAAATTATGAAATCCTGTATTTATACTAAGTTATTTTCTTTTTTGTATGTTTTTAAGGTCTGTGTCTGTTGTAGCTCCATTTCCAGAAGATTGGTTTTCAGATGGAATTGTGTACCCCAAACTAGCATGGCTTAGAAATGAACTTTTGTCCAAACTGGCTAAATGGTCTGTGCAGCAAAAGCCCAGTGGGTTTAAAAGTACACTCTCACTCATTTCACTAGCAAAATACAGCAAGGTTTATCAGGACCTCAAAGAAAAGTACAAAGAGATGGTAAAGGTAAGTTTAGCAGTAAATGCAGTAACCCTTCCTTTTTACACCTCCCTCTCCAAAACTTTTGGAGGTTAAGATTTAACCTATCTTATTATGTGTTTGAGTTAGATGAGCAGTGTTGTAATTCTTTTTCTCTTTTCCTGGAGATCCTGAAGCGCAACAGAGTGCTGTATGAAGTAAGGTCTGTAATCTTGCAAACTTGGCTCTAACTGCAAACAAAAAAATTGGTAAATGCTTTTGTAAAACATACAGTGAAAATGTTTTACTGTTAATATTTCTGTACTAACAGGAAGATACATAGGAGAGAATTAGAGTTTTGGGTGAGGCAGTGATTCAGTCTTGAGTTCTGCAGTAGAATTGCTGGTGTTGACCATTTTGGTCTTTGTTTCAATTCTTCATTTACAAAGTAACACTGGGGAATTATACTTGTGCTTTCTGTCTTCCTACTTCAGATTTTGATTCTTCATGTTGTGTTGTGCCAAGATAATTCTAGGTCTGTTCATTGTGAAAGAAATTTACAAATGTTCATGTTTTCAATGTTGCAGTAGTACAGATAAGATATTTTTTTTCTCATGAGAAAGTTAAGCAAAAGATACATGGTCTGTTAAAGAACAGATGCAGCTATTTACTTGTGACCTGCACATGTGGAGCCAAAATGTTCTTAGAAACTTTATTATTTGGTTGAATCAAACAGTCTTTATATTCTCTAGGTATATGTTAATAAGGTTAAAATGCAAAATCTGTGAAGTCCAGAAACCTACTGAAGTGAATAATATCCAAATTGCTTTGTCTGAGCATTTTTGAGATTATATCAGATGATGGAGAAAATAAATTTTTATCTATTTTTCATTCTGTTTTTTTTTTCCTGAAGGTGTGGCCTGAAGTGACAGATCCTGAGAAATTTGTTTATGAAGATGTTGCCATTGCCACTTATTTGCTGGTAGGGAACTGCTTTACCTAATAATATGTTGTAAGGTTATATTTCCTAATAATAGAACCTCTCTAAAGAAAATAATTTTAGAATTAAACAAAAACTTCCTTGTGAAGATATGACGAAGATTTGCAGTCTTCTGTCACAAGAAATTCATCATCTACGTACACAAGATTTATTTATTTCTAAGTGAGAAAGCCAAAAGCACTAATGTAGAAGTGATAAGATGGATCAGTTGAAGATTAGGATTGATTGTTTTATAAATATTTCTATTACTTATTCATTTTATACTATGAACAAATAAACACAGTTTTTCACTGCTGTGCCTTTTCTTGATAAAATTTCAGCTCAAATCCCATCTTCAAGTGTAATTAGGTCAACTGCAGATGCTAGAAGTGCAGATAAATGCTTGGTGCAGTTTTCTCAAGCATCTGTCTACTTAAGATTCTATGAAAATTCTGTCACCTGCAGTTCTTAGAAACTTCAAGTTTTTAAAAAGCAGGCACATAAGTGTTTTTGTTTGCCATCCAGGGTGTGGTAAGAAGATGTCTACATTGAACTATACTTGTAGCATCTTACCTAAATCAGTATTTCTGTGTAAGTTTGCTCATTTACAGTACTCACTGAGGACTAATTTATTTTGTTAATTAAGTGTTTAACTTTAGATACTGGCTTGTGGAAAGAGCTATGTAATAGACTCATCTTTACCATTTTTACCACCATCTTAAGATTCAATGTTGAAAATTAGGAATTTAGTTGTAGCCAGCCACAAGAAAATTCTGGAGTGATAGCATTTTTATACATGAGAATGTTGGTTTACAGTGATTATGTTTTGGCTAATATAGCAGTAGTTTTCATAAAGTCATTATTCATTCAATATGCAGCTTAGGTAAATGGAAACTTAAAGTATATTATTAATAATTTAACCTGCTGCAAAATGTTCAGGTATCTGTTTGATAGTGTATGAAGGTCATTGCTTAGAAGTACATTACACAAGTGATTTTCCAAGAAAATGTAGGTGGAGTGTTAAGTTTTTATGGGTTTATGACATCTGCATGTGACCTCTTTTTATTTTCCAATCATATTGAGATCACTCACTGTCCAGGGGCATGCCCAAGGACATAGCTGTTGTGAAAAATCCTGCAGGAATTAGAGGATAGGTAGGATCTGGGTAGGAGGTAATTAAGGATTTCTGGGATACTGCGTGGAGTGCCAAAGTGCAATGATTGGTACATCTAAAAACATAATCCAAGAGATTAGCAGACTGTGTTTGTCTTCAGCTTCTTCCCCTCTAGCAAATCTGACAATGTTACAAATAGTTAATTCATAAATGCTCTTCAAGATTTTTGGTAGTCATAGTGAAAAATCAGAGTGCAGAGTTATGAATGTGTGGTCTGTAACTTTTTATTGAAGGAAGAAGAGTTGGAAAATGGTAAAGGTTAGTTCATGCTCTGCAGAGAAACAGCCACTTGTTAATTATGGATGATACATCTGTGTAAAAGGATTAATTTAAACTCCCAATGACTCAAAATGGAGTGGAGGGTGTGCTTAGCACTTAGAAAACTATTGATACTTTGCAAAATAATTCTTGTTTCACTCCATAAACAGTGATTTTCTGTTTTAGTGTTTTGTTTGGAGTTTTTTTTAGATTTTCTTTTTTTTTTCCCTCTAAGTTTATTTTACCTGTGAGTGCAGTGAATGTTTTTTGTCAAGTCTTTCATCTCCAGTAACTTTTGATGGTTTCTTGTAGGGAGACTTGAGAGCAGAAGCCTAATACGTTCTGTTTTCTTGTCTTAGGTTCTTTGGGAAGAAGAGAGAAAAGAAAAAGGGTTGACCAAGAAACAGTCATTTGTAGATCTTGGATGTGGAAATGGTTTGCTGGTTCATATTCTAAACAATGAAGGGGTACATAGAATGTTTTTTAAAATAATTATTAAAAACTAGTTTTGGTATTCTTGTTATGCTTTCCTTTTATCTGGCATACAGATAGCCAAAATAAATTAATTCATGTTGCTAAAACAGGATTTTTTTCACTCTAGTTACTAACAGAAAATCCTACCAGAGGATTAGACCATTCATTTATTTATCCTAATTAGTGTATTTCATTTAAATTCAGGGCTATTTTTTCTGAGGTAAGAAACTAAGAGGAAAAAGTAATGGAGTCCTTTAGTTATGCAAAAAGGAATGTAGAATTTTGACATAGGTTCTCTCTCACAAGATGTGTTCATGAACTTATTTTTCATCAAACTGAATTCTACTTGTGATGTCATAAAATAATTTTCTATATCTTTGCAAGCAGTCCTGAGATTTCTTAATTAAAACTTCCTTAGCGCATACTGTACTTTTTGCAGTAAAAATGTGGCAACAGCATAATTCAGTTTGTTGAGGCATAGTTTCTGAAATAGAAACTGTTCTGAAAGAACAGTGAGACTAAACAAAACCCATTGAAGTTGGGTTTGTCTGTTTCAGAAAATTGCATTTTCCATTTCTGGGAGAACATGGGGAAATTTATAGAGGAAATAAATATCTCTTATTAGATAAAGAGATGTCATTGGGGGAGTAGGAAAATGTTCCAAGTTCTTCTAGCGCAAGGTTTCTATTCTTGTGTGGCCAGAAAACTTTAGTGCAATATAAGCTGCTGGTTTTTTCCATCTGGATTTTTCAATCAGTCATTCATTCAGTGCTGACAAACACTGCCTGTCAAAAAAATCATGTATGAGAGTTTTAGGAGACTTTTTTTAGTAATTGATTTTTCTTAGTTCTGCACAGTGTTCTTGGATTTCAAATACTACACATTTTGATTTCGTGCTTTAGTTTCCAATTTATTTCCTCTTTCCTTTCATTCAAACAGGGGAAGAGAGTGTTTGGGTTTCAGTAGTTGGAAGGTGGTTCCCCACTAAGGACTGCTTAGAGTAGCATTCTTCTTTGAGTCCTGTGGGTGCTGCAGTAGTACTCATCCTGTGAAAGGTTTTGATATTTTAAAAACAAACAAACCAAAAATCAACACCTCTGCTTTTACATTTGTAGAGATAGAGATTTTAAGAGAAGTCTCAGTAGGTATGCCCCGGTAAAATTTTGAACCAAATATATTCTTTAAGATTTCCTAGTAATTCCCTTCATATTTCAAATGGAAGAAAGGGAATAAAAGTATTCAGCTGAAATGGCAAAGCTAGTTTTTATTATCTGTCTAAATCTTAGCATGAATAAAATAATTGAAGTTAATATGTATTAACTTAATATGTAAGTTAATATGTTATAACTTAATTAATATGTATGTAAATATTTACTGAACCTACTTGAAATTTTTGAAAAAAGTAGTAGTACTTAAATTGAGTATTTTTGTTGTTCAAATATTTCAGCATTCAGGCAGAGGAATTGATGTGAGGAGAAGAAAAATATGGGACATATATGGACCAGAGACACATTTAGAGGTATTATGCAAATGTATGTCAGTTTTACTGATATGTATATTTATTAATTTGTTCATTGTTTCAGGGGTATTGATGTAAGTGTAAGGAACCATACTGGGTTACACACAGTAGTCTAAAGGGACCCATGGGTTTGGTATGATGCTACCCATATTCCTTGGGGGTGAAGTAAGTTGTAAAGGGAATTATGAGAAAAATATTGTATTGTACCTTTGCATATTTGCAACTTGTTTGTTTCTCAGCCAGGAACCACTGGCATGATTTCTTAGTGCATATACAGACATGCACACCATGAAACAAGCTTTCTTTTTACCAGATGGTCAATATTAAGCAGCTTTATTTGCACCACTAGTTCATAAAAGATAATAAAGCCACTCATAATTTGGGATAATTACTTGAAAGTGATTCTGACCTTGTTGTGCCATGTTCTGTATTGGGGGCAAAATTGTTGTTGAACCTCAGAGGAGCCGACGTAAATAATTGTAATAATAGCCTTCAAAAATGAACAGGAAAAAGAGTCTACAAAAGGGATCATATTTCAGGTTTCATGTTTTCATTTTTATGAACTATTTGAGCACAGGAACATTCACTTTGATTCTGATACTGATTCAATCTAATAATCTGACACTCATTAAAGTGTAGTGCTAATGAGCAGTTGCCCTTTGGAGGTGAGGTGTTCCTGGTTTTTTGTTCTGCAGGTCTAAAATTTCTTACTCTGTTCTGTCAAAAATTATCAGCTCCCAATATAGTAAAATAATTTTCCACCTGTGGTTACTCTCTAGTAGTGTTGGTTAAAGTTCATTCAAAATATTAAGAATTGTTTATTCAAAACTAAGATGCTAACTTATTAAATTATGAAAAAACATCAATTTTCACAGATGGGAGGTCACAGATTTCAGTGTTGTGTAGCCTTCTCTTTGCCACCCTGTCATTTTGGGTACAAGTTGCCAAAACTGCCATATTCCTTTACTGCAGTCTGCAAGCAGATCTTCCTGTAAAGCTTCAACAAACAACCCAAAACATCAAGCTGTGGTGCTCCATCATTCCTATGTGCTGTATTAAGTCACATCTAATCATGATGAACAGCATTGTCTCCTTATCTTTGTGTTACATGTTCCTTTTTCTGCCCAGAAAGAAACAATAAAATCTATGCTGACAAAAGTGATGATTTATGCTGGAAGGAGTTAGACCATGAACAGGAAGGGTGAAATGATTTTGCAAGGCTCCTGTAGCTCTGGGAGCCACAGAAGGAAAAAGCACCTGCTCACAGCCTGTTGTTACCCCTGAAGCTAATTTTGTTTTGATCTTGACTTACAGCACGAGTTGCAGGGTAGATGTTGCCACCTGTGTGGTTCAGTACAATTCTAACAGCCTAAATGGATGCAACAGGTGACACTCTGTGTTTCCAAACTGCTGTCAGACATGGTGAATACAAATTTGATTAGGGGTGACTGTCAAATAGGGCAGCGTGGCACTGATAATTCATGCTATGCCTAAATTGAATGATAAAAACTGAAATGTAAAGTATGAGTAATGTGTTTAATCAACCTTAAGAAAACACTTACCAAAGGCTTGGTAATTCAACATCCAGTTATCTGCCAAAAAACTTGTTACATTCATTATCTAGAAATGTTCATACGTATCTAAAAATGAACTGTAGTATTTAAAGTGAACAATTTTAAGTGAACAATCACCATATTGATTCTTAAGAGGTATATGGAAAGTAACCAAGATAGTCTGAATTCTCTAATAAAGGGTTTTGTTTTATTTTATTTTTTAATTCGTATACAGATACTGCTTTGCATGTACATGTGAATTTTAAGCTCTTAAAACATATCTTTTCTATATAAAAAAAGATTATGCATGTAATTTTCAGAATTTTCCCTAAAGGACTGTAGAAATTCAAATCTAAAACTTTTTTTGAATTTGTCCAATAATTTTTTTTAGTGTTCATACACATTTCCAGGGAAGAGTGTCTACTTCCATGGTGTCAACATCTTTCAGTACTTTCTCTGTGGAACTTTGTTCAAAGTGAGAAGATGTATTTGTGAGGCACAAACATTATAGGCACTGTAGAACATTTGAATTTAGCCTGTATGAAGAGTTCATCCTCTTAGTTTTATTTGGGGTTTATTTTGTTTTTTACTGTTTTATTTTATGTGAATGATAGCACGTGAAGAGTGGTGTTCTGTATACTAGGATTTGATTTGGGCAGCATCTGTGAAGGAGGAGATAGTAATAATGAAGCTGTGTTCTGATTAATTGCTATGTGAGTCCTACAGGCTGCAAGACAGCAAATTAAGTGCCTTTCTGAAAAACTTGAGTTCAGGCATACAAGTGACAGAAGGAGATTGGCAAGAAATCATAATTTAGTGTATGACATTTGTTTATATATATTTAAATGCTAGATATCTTAATCAGCCATTCCACTGTTTTTTTGAGCCATGTGTTGTGGGTGTTTGTTGCTTAATTACTTCTCTGTAGCCATAAAAAATTGCTAACTGAGGAAAACATTGTTGGTGTCTGTGGTGCTCACTCACCTTGTATTTGTCAGCTGGTATTACTTTTCATTATTGCTTAGTGCTTTAAATAAATTGCTTTAAAGAAACCTGTAACAGGATTCACTTACTGTGTTTTGTTTTTTAGGAAGCTACAATCATTCCAGGTGACAGTCATCTCTTTCCAGATACTGACTGGCTCATAGGAAACCATTCAGATGAGTTAACACCATGGATACCTGTAATTGCAGCTAGGTATTTTTGCAGAGGAAGGGGAGTGGGATGGAAGGAATTAAAAAAAACAGGCAGAAAAAAACCAAACTATCCTCCCATGATTACTTATGTAGGCTTGATTAAAAACTGTCAGCTTTGGTTCCACACCTGTTGTTCTTCTAAGACTGGTTTTGATGCAAGCTGATTATTTTTACAAAGTGGAGAAGCACAGATGTAGTATTTACTTTCTCATAGACTTCAGTGCAGCATTTTGCTTTTGATATTTAAACACCAAAACTGTTTTATATTCCTTATACATGAAGCTGTTTGGGTTTTTTTTTCTTGTAAATACAAGTTTATGGTTCTGCCTTCCCTTGAGCTGTTGGGCTCTTTACAACTAGCAATAGTAATTTAAAGTTTTACTTCTGCAAACTAAGTTGGCAGAGTAGGTTGCTGCATCAGATACTTAGTAAAATGGTTTTTTTGACTAAACTAATAGTTCAACTGAAAGGGAAAGTTATAAATAGTACTGCATGAAGCTCTGTTGCTTAATAAAAAATTACATTGTTGCTTTTGTCTGATCGATTGTTAAATATTTGTGTTTTCTGAGATAACTTACTGTTCAGCAGTTTGTTATCCTTCTTGTAGGTCTTCCTATTCATGTTGCTACTTTGTGCTGCCATGCTGCTTCTTTGATTTCCATGGAAAGTACAGACGGAGACAAAGCAAGAAAACTCAGTACAGAGAATATCTTGATTTTGTTGCCCAAGTTGGATTTGTATGTGGCTTTCACGTGGAAGAAGATTGCCTTAGAATTCCATCAACAAAAAGGGTAATTTTGGTCTCTGTAGGGCTTTTGTCTTTTATTTTTTTAAATCTTCTCTGTTTGAAGCATATGGTTGTTTGTTCATTGTTATTGTTGTAAGATAAGACTGTAGGCAGCTTCATTACTTGATACAATATACTCTGAAAAGAGATTAATAATATTCATTGTTGGAAATTCTACTCTAAATGTTACAGGTACAGTCCTAAAACAGGAAAAAGTGAAATTTTTCATGATTTTCTCTTATGTCATTCTGTATGATGGAAAACCTTTAAAAACCTTACTTTTTGCTTTAATTTTTCTAGCTGCCTGTCTTACTTTTTTGTACTTAATTTTATTTTACTTAATTGCTGTTTTTCTTGTCCGGTGAAATTCAAAATGAAATCTTCTCAGAGTAGGAAGAGGTATCCAACTTTAAATAATCTGAGGGTCAGGAACAATATTTTTGCTGTGTGATTGTAAATCATCATGGATTATGATTTGTTTACTGGATTTCTTCTGGGGCACCAGCATTAAAAAACTGGAATTAAAAGCCCCTCAGGTGTTACTGAGCATTGAGTTGGTATTGGATTTTGTTGTAGGTAGTGAGAAACCTGCATAAACATGTGGAGGTTGTGGGGTTGGTTGTTTTAAGTACAGGACTCTGATAGTGATTTACTTGTTTCTACTAAAATAGGTCAGCTTTATTGGGAAAAGCAGGAGGTACCCAGCTGCACAACATGCTCTGATTGACAAGCAGATAACACAGTTCATTAACAGTCGTGGAACCTGTGCTGTGGCCGCATGGGACAGGAGGGTTGGATTTAACCATGAAGATCGCTGTGGTGGTCTGTGCAAAGAAGCAGGCTCAGAACCTCTTGAAGATGATACTGAGACCGATGGTACAATTTGGATGCCTGGATTTCAACCCAGAGAAAAAGTAGAACAAGTCAGAAATTGTGTTTCCCTCCCTCGGGATTTTGTAGATGAAGTGGTTCTCAATGTGGCAAACTTACTGTTAAATGCAGCCCCCCAAAAATCATGTTCTGATAAGCAGGGTGGAAATACGAATACCTGGAATCAAGGAGGTGAGATTATCTTTCCTTTACACTGTCTTTAGCTGGTAGAACATGTATTTTCCAGCAAATTTACATGTTTGAACAGATTTTTAGGAAACACCGACAACAGTACAGTCACAATCAAAGGTGTTTTTTTTTTTCCCCACTATGTTTTATTGCACGTAGAAAATATTTTGAAGTTGGTGTGAGTTTTTATCCTGGTTTGCATCTAAATACTATTATAGAATCGATTTTTATTAAACCAAACCCAACTAAACTCACAACTCTACCCTATTTGGGGAGAATATTATGGTTTGGAATATTAACATAATCATTAGCTATAATTCTGTAAGAGTTTGTAAGAAGTCCTTCAAAGTGCCATTAGGTTACAGCATGATTAGGAATTTTTAGTTTAGTTTTAGGAACAAAAAGAACATTAAGCTGCTCTTAATTGTATAAACAGCCAGTTCTCACTACTATCTTTCCATTTTCTTCCATCTGTTTTTATTATTTACTCCCTGTAGTTTTTCATATGTTACTGACTGAGTCTTCTAACTACCTGCTTATAAACACTGCTTATTGCAATGAGGGTTACATGCTACTGTAAAAAAAGCAAAGCAAATAAAAAGTGTGTCTTACTGTGGAAATTCTAACCTGAGTCCTGTAAAATGAAAGCTGATGCCTTACAGACAATATACATATAAAATATATACCATACATCATAATGTGAGAAAAAAGTTGCTGCAGTCCTAGTGGATAATTCTGACATTCTTCTCATAATCATTACCTTATATAGAAGTTCAATTGTGTTAAGGTTTTATAGAGAAAAGTTTTTAATAATTCTACCATTTTTTAATTGCAGAAAGCCTTTCCTTGAGAGAAGTGGCAGAACACCTGGATAAAGAGATTTTAAAAAAACTGAAAAGTGAATATGGAGGCCTGCAGACACTACTCAAGAACAATCATCAAGTATTTGAAGGTAAAAGAGTTTTGAATTATGGGGTTTTTCCTCCTTAATTATTTATCTCCTCTATATATAGTTAAACGTAACTGAAAAATTACTATGGTGGGGTTTTTTTAACTGCTTTTTGTATCTTTGTGGAAAGATGAATATTCTTTATGTGCCCATTGCTCCAAGATAGTGTTAGAAAAGTTTTTATAAATGAGATTGGTAAAGCATCTATCAGCAAAACGTTCTACACTGACTGTATCTGAAAAGACAAACCTTTAGTTTAAGTGGCTGATTTGATGCTATTCTTTGACCTTTTATTTTTGTTTCTTCTTATGAAGTGCTGATGGTTTTGAGGCTGTCAAATACAGAGCAATTTTACTAAAGCATTTAGTAAACTAAATAACTGAGGCTTAGTCTGACCTCACCAAGCCCCAAAGTGTAAATGCTGACATAAAACAAATAAGCCTCCTTAAGAAGCTGTAATTGTGGGGCTTGATGTGTTTATAAAGCTTGTGTTTGTGTTGCTGGTGGTAGCATGGCAGAAAGAACTCAGTGGCAGGTCTCTGTGGCTGGCTGGGTTTGTTGATAGCAGTTTTTTGGGTTTGGAGTTTTTTATCTCTGTAGTAGTGTGTGGTGGCAGTGTGCTTTGTGTAATTGGTTGAGGCTTTTTTTTGTCAGTGTGAAGTTTTGCAAAACTAAAATGTAGCTTTGCAGTAATACGAGATCTTCGAGGTTTTATCAGCATTACAGCTGCTTCAAATTTCAAAGTGTGTTACGTCCTAACAGTTCTGTCTCTTATGAAATACTGCTTAACTAAACCTTGCCAGTGGTCAACTTAAGCAAGATTAGCATCCACTAAATATCTGTGTACACTTTGCTGATAAAATCCTCCTGAATTACTATCCATTAAAAAGTTGGTCACATGGAGTTCATTATGTGTCTGAATTTGTTCCCTATCATTAGATATAGCTGAAATAGGTTTTGCAAAGTGTTACATTGTAAATGTAACGTTTTAAATTGGCTTGGAGGCTGTGTGCACATTACCTATGGAGAAAGTCTAGGATTAAGTCAGACCTATCTGAGTAATTTATGTCATTTATTATAAATTTATTATGGGCCTGGGGAGACACCATGTGATTCCTCCCTTAGTAGCATGTCACCGTAACAAGAAAGTTCTGGTGGTCTCCAAGGGCATTGCTCCTGCCCAGGAGGACAGAGAAGAACATGGCTACAGCTCTTCTGTCATCTTTACTGATTTTTTTTTCTTTTAAAACATGGAAATGGATGGATGTACACACACACCAAAAAAAAGTGGGTCTTAGAATAACTGTTCGGTGGCAGTTTCTTTAGTTCAGTCTTGTCTAATAAAATACTGATTTTCTAGGGAAAAAATATGTTTGATAATAAATAGATGCTAACTTTTCTTCGTCTTTTGCGAGAGATTTTAAAGCTCAGCTGAAATTGCTTCTTGATTGGCTTAGTATGAGTTCAGACCTTACTGTGTATCACAAGGAAACCTGGAGACATTAATTCATCCAGGGCAACTGTGTGATATTTAGCTTTCACTGGACTTGCTATTTTCTGAATAGCAATAATCAGAATGCAGAATGGTGTTGGTTAACTATTCCAAGCTACAAGTGTCTTGATACAGAAGGTTTAATTGAAGCAGAATATGAAAATACAGAGCATGGCAATTTAAAAGTGGCAGATTCTTCCCTCTTAATTTTCACTGCTGTCATCTGTTTTTTTCTTTCTTTCTGGCTAACTTCCTTTCATCTGTTTTGTTTACTCATTTGAGAAGTTGACAGAGATTCACAAGTGTGTGCATGTGCAGTTTATGGTCCTAACACAGCAAATGAATTTAAAAACCCCAAAGTGCAAATCCTTATTAACCAATGATAATTCAGCGTTGGTTCACGTGAAGGATGAGACTTGTCACACACTGGATGCAGTGTGTTTTTGGGTCAGTGAACTGTGAAAGTAGAAGACACTGGCCATCACATATTAAATGTGGAATCATAAAGTTACAAACATGGGAAAAATTACAGTTCTTGAAGATGAAATTTCTTTTGTTAGAACTTGCAATCTAAGTTTGGATGATTTTAGTCTAAATGATCTCAGCTGCTGTATTTAAAAGGAACTAACAAACCTCTACATAGATGACGTAAAGGTGCCTCAAACTATTCAGCATCCCAGTAAAACATCTCCCAGGGAAATCAATCAAGTCATCTTTGTACTGTGTCTACATTGTCTTGGTTTGTTGTGTACTTCTTTCTGTTCCTGTACAAATGGCTCATCTGGTTTTGTCTGAGTGATCCATTTGTAGAATGTTTTTTATTTACAGAATTTCACTACAATTTTTTTCCACTATAATTGCCATGGATGTCTATTAACAGCTGAATTTTTGTTTTTAAATCTTAGTTCTAAATGGGAGAGTTCATATTCGTGACTGGAGAAAAGAGGAATCACCAAGTAAAACTAAACCTGAAGTGAAACGGCGCCTTTCAGCTGAAGCATTTAAAACACGCCTCTGTTGGTTTTTCATTCATCATCCTGATGGTTGTTCTTTACCTTCTGAAGCTTGCCCATATGCCCATGGGACTGAGGAGCTAAGGCAGTCCCCGATGATTAAAAAGAAAAAACATATACAGTAATAAAATGTTACAACTTTTGTTTAGGTTTATGTACATAACAGAATCTATGATTGACTTTGGGACTGGCTAGTGCCTGAACATCTGTACAAAATGGATGGATTTCCCTCATTTCTTTGCATCTCATTTTGCATTTGGTTTACAGATTCTCCTGTATTTCTAATTCTTTATATTTTTATTAACAGGGAATAGGTATAGTAAAGTACATATATATTTTTGGATTTGTCCTGGCTTGTCTAGCATGCATTTGTATAAGTAGAAATGTTTAAAAACTTAATTTCCTGGGAAACTCCTCAAGATCCTTAATCAGGTCAAAAGTACATCATGCAGCATTTTCAAACCCTGAAAATTAGCCTGTTTTGTTCCACATTTTCAAGGAGTGTTAAGGAAACTTCTCTGTCCAGCCATCCAGATGCCACTCTGGCAGCCACAGCCACAGCACCTGAGCTGGGACTGAAGCCCCTTCACAGCAGGCAGCTCCACGGAGCCCACAGCTGCCCTGCTTGACTCCCTACACCCCCCCACACTCACACAGTCCCACAAGGTTCCTCTATTCCCTGGCCCCAGGATTCCCATAGCACAGTCTCACATGCCTCAATCCTTAATTCAAATTTGGTGCAACAACAAAGTAACAGCTCAAGCTGCTGACTCTGATGAGGGACCTTGTAGGCAGGATCTCCTGGGCTTTTATACCCTCACAGGCCCAGCCCACAAAGTCTGGAGGTCCTCAGCTCCTGCCTCATCTGAGTGTCCAGTGCTGCCGCAGGTCCCCAGGCCCTTTCCTGTGAGAAGGGCGGCATTTCTCAGCCTCTTGCCTGGGGCTCTCACCACTCAGAGCTCAACCTGCAGCCCACACTGCAGCTGCTTGCCTTGCTACCTGCCCTGAATGTGTTCCTCAAGAGGAGGATTTATGGTTTCTTATATCTCATAGTGGCTCTTGGAAGTCTTGGAGTCAGAAATTAGAGGGATTTCACTCTTTCCTGGCTTGATAGCTTCCTTTCCATGTTACTATGCAGTAATACTGTATAATACCCTTCATTGTCCTTTCCTTGTTTTTTATTTTGATTCAAAGTCATTGGCTTGTATGAACAGCTTTCTAGGAAATTACTGTGGAAGCCTTCAGATGTAGGTGTAAGTTTTTAGGGGTTTGTAGGCCACACTGTCATAGATTCTTAGAATGAGTCATGATGGAAATAACATTAAAGATCATCTAACTCCCATGCCATGGGTAGGGACCTCTTTCACTAGATCAGATTCCTCAAAGCCTCATCCAACCTGGCCTTTTCTTATTTTCAAAGTGAGGAATAAAAGTAGAAAACGTGTTTAATACTATTGGGATGATGGGGTTTCTGTGTATCATATAACAAAGGAATGTTTAGCACTTTAAGCAACTTTTAGCATCTTTGATAGACTATAATTTTCTTACAAAGGTTTAACTTTTAAATGCACATCCTAAGTAGAATAATGAAGCTGATGAAGGGTCTAGAGTGCATGTCCTGTGAGGAGCAACTCAGGGAACTGGGGCTTTCTTAGCCTGGTGAAAAGTAAGCTTGGAGGGCTCTTACTACTCTCTACTACTTAAAAGGAGGTTGTAGTCAGGTGGGGATCATTCTCTTCTCCCAAGTAACAATGACAGGTAAGAAGAAAATTACTTCAGTTTGCACCAGGGAAGGTTTAGATTGGATATTAGGAAAACCATCACGAAAAGAACTTGTCAAGCATTGCAACAGGCTGCCCAGGGAAAGAGTGGAATTGCTCCACCATGCCTGGAGGTGTTTATAAGACATGTAGGTGTGGCATTCAGGGATGGGGTGGTGAACTTGGCAGTGCTGGGTGAGTGGTTTGACTTTATGGCCTTAAAGATCTTTTCCAATCTAACCAATTCTATGATTCTGTCAACTTACTAGTGAACCTAATTACAACTCAGTGGCAGTCATTGAACGGGTGTCATAGTTCATACCTGTTAAGTACTTGTAAAGTTCAATATGTGCTGTACAAGCTGTGACAAGGACTTGTGTTCTGGCCCAGTTTGTACCTTCATAGTGTGGAAACTGATCTACTGAGTTAATACTTTGCAAAAAACCTACTGAAGAAAAGGCAAGATTAAAATTACAGAAAAAAGTTACTAGAGAAGAAACGTGGAGGTGGGAGCAATGACACAGAAAGTGGGGGCAGGTGAGATCTAGGGGTAAGAGTGGTTAAGCCATGTGAGGACTCTTAAGAGCTCAGGGAATCTGGAGAAGAAAGGAAGGAAATAATTGAATACACAAAGCAGAGGAAAAATGAAAGGTGACACTGGAAACACTTTTCAAAACAATTCCACGGACCCTAACTTCAAGCAGTAGGGTGCAGTCTATTGCATGAAGATGGAATAGGCTCTAAATCTATTGGCAAGATAGGACCAAAAAACTGACTGAAGTGTTGCATATTCTTTCTTCCTTTGCATTTTATTTCCTTTGCATTTTTATTCTGATCTTGAAAGAAGCAGCACTTGCTAGAGCACAATGACCCTGATATTTGCAGCAGCATCTTGCTCATGGATCATTTACCATGTTATCCCATATGCTAAGTAGTACAGGTACCTGGCCTGCCAGTGCCAGGAGTTGTTGTGGGCACTGAGCTTTTCCCATAGCTCTGGTTTGCAGTGTTGTGTTTGGTATCACATCCTGAGTTCAGCTCTAATCGGTGCTGTGTTACAGACAATACAGCATTTGTGCATTTCAGAAAAAAAAAAAAAAAAGGTACCCTAAAGGTTAATTTTCTACTAAGGGGCACGTTGGATGTTGTTCATTGAAGATTATTGGATTAAGGGAAAGAATAGAATAAGTCAGGGAAACTGCAACTCCCATGAAACAGGACAGCACAGAAAGGGAACACAACTGATAGAGTAGTTACAGTTGTAAGAATCAGAAAAACGTTTTGCCTATTGAGAGGAGAAGAGTTGAGAAAAGAGAGGAAATTCCAGGAACTTGGATGTAATCAAAGGATGATGTTGCCTGAGTTAGCCTTTGGCTATGTGTAGAGTAAGAAGAATTCCTCAAGGCGCTTATTTATTGTGGTAATCATACTGGTGTGTTTGTTGAGGAGGAGGCCCCTGTAAAATTAAGTTAATGCTTTCTCCCAACGGAGATTGTTTCCAAATGGTGCAAAGAGGAAAAACAGACTTTCGGTTATTTTCCAGTCATTGGTGTCTACCCTGATAATTCACCTTTGAGTACTTCAATTATTAGCCCAGATTTAGAGCAATTTCTAGAGGAAATCTTACAGCTTCCTAACAGTAAATACAGGTTTCTAGCTATGCTTTGTAATAAAATTAGGCTGCTTCTTATGGGTTTTAGGGCTTGTTTGTTCAGATTTAAAGTTTTAAATGCTAGTTTGAATAGACTGTACTTGTTGAACTTCATGAGATTTGCACATGCTCAACTCTCAAGCCTGGTAAGGTACATCCCCCTAAACTCTTTATCTTTGGAGATCTTACCATATTTTTATGAGCTGGAATCTTGGTTTATTTGTATAAACTAGGCAAGAGTGAGCAATCAATAGCTTTTCTTAGGACATAGAAATGGTAAATATTTGGGAATCAACAGGGATGAAATGTAAAATCTGTACAATCCTACCACGTGATAGTTAAACAAATAATGAGGTAGGTATCCACTAAAATATTTAAACATTTGGCATCAACTGATGTTAGACAATATGTTTTGTTACTGCTGATTGCTTTTGTTTATATCACTGAAAGTGTATTTATTAATGTGAATTGGCACATTTCTCTTGTGGGAGCCTGGTGCAGCAGTGCTGTGCTCACATGGCAGTGGTTTCCTGGTGGGCTTTGTGTGCTGGGAGCAGATTTCAGTGAACACTGTTCCAACCCAAGCGTGTGGGTTAGTGCTCATTTACCATCTCATACACACTGCTGTAGGCCAGTTCTAACTGGGTGCTATTACAATAAAACTGCTTAGCAATTGTAGCACAGCTCCTCTCTTCCCTCTGCAATTTTATTGTAACAGGTTTTAGCAGCTCTAAATAGGTGAGTGTGGCTTCAGTTTCCTCTGTGGCGGGAGCATCACAACACATTATTGTTCAGAGATCAGTGGATCCACCTGCATTAATTTCTCTGTGAGCCCTCCTGTGCTTGGCTCAGAGCTGAGCATCCAGCCTTTCTCAGGAGTGGGGGCTGTGGATGGATGCCCAGGGAGCAGCACTTGGCTGCTGGAGCTGGATGCGCCTGTCACACTGCAAACACCCTCCTTCAAGCTGCCAGTCAGGCTCGTCTGACAGCTGGCCAGACACTGCACACAAAATCCAAGCAGTCTTCTCCTGGAAAGCCTGCCCTGAATAAGCAATAAGGGAAGTGTTAATTTATATTATGAGTGGGGTGTACACAGAGATACAGCTGTTGTGAAATTAGAGCCTTTTTGCTTTGCTTTTTTGTTTTGCGTTAGAAATTTTTAATCCAGTGGGGAAAAAAAAATGGAGCTGGGAGAGGAAGGAAATATTGCTTGCCCTTTTTCTCAGCTACAAAATATTGACAGAGCAAAGATTTTTCAAGATGTCTGTCTTTTGTCCGTACATAATGGTTTTTTCTTCCCTTTGACTGTGTAGCCTTCCTAGGAGCAATGCTTTTACTTTCCACCAGCATGGCATATCTTCACTGGCCTTTGGTGTATTGTGAGAAAATCCATCTGGTACAGTCATTGTTATTCTTGTAGCTGTTTTGCTATGGAACAGTATAGACATAGTAATTTTAGGTTTGTTTTTGTTTGTTTCTTTGTTTGGCTTTTTTTGTTTTGTTTTCTTTTTATTTACTGTTTGTTTTGGCAGATTATTTCAGCGAATTTAAATCCCATGGTGAACACATCACCTGTGAACACTGTCAGCTGTGATCTGACAGTGCTGTGAATATAATTACAGAGTTTAGCCCAGCAGCCATATTCCTTCTCGTGTCTGGAATTGAAGCAGATGGGGAATGCTCTCAAGTGAAAGGAGTCTTCTCTTTGAAAAGCTTCAATGATCAGAATTTTAAACTTTTTTCTTTGTTTTTTTTTTTTACTTTCTTTTTTCTTTTCTTTTTTTTTTTTTTTTTTTTATTCGGATGTCTCATCAGGGGTTCTAATCTCAATTTTAACAGTAAAAAAAAATAGCAGAACAATTTTCTTAGTGGCCCGTGGAAGTAGCTGGCTGTGAGGACAGAATGGTTGTGTTGGCTATTTTCCTGTTAGAG